CACTCAGAACCATCAGAAATCAAGTTGAATGGAAGTCTGACAGCTACAGAATTAAAGAAACCACATCCATCCAGACTGACAGGAGGACGGAAACACAGATAAATGGAATGGGCTGGTCCCACACACACATATGATGGATAAAAATTGGGAGGGATATCTCAGGAGCCAGCATCCAAGTCCCACACTAGGCCCCACAGCCCAGGGTTCCAGTGCCAGGAAGATAAGTCACCATATTTGGCTATAAAAACCAGTGAGGATTGAGTTGGTGGAAGAAACTATTGGGAGTCCCAAGCAGTACCTCTTAAAGGGCCTGCACAAGACTTACTAAGACTCGCTCCTTCTGAGCTCCAGCACCAGGGTAGCAGCTTGAAAGGCATCAGTGGCATACAGGGAGGAACTGAAGTGTCTGGCGTCAAGGCAAGAGCTGGAAGACAGCTCTGTCTGGGATAAAACTGTGGGCAGAGGTCATTATTCCTCTTCTGAGCCCTCCCCCCACAGAGCCACAGAGCCTACAGGCAGGTGCCATATCTGAGACTCCATCAACCTGGCTCACACTGCTTGCCCCCACACCCCTGATTCCCTGAGATTCCATCTGGCCCAATTTAATGGGCCCACCTAAGCTGTTAACAGTGGCTTCTCCATATGAATGGCTTATCTTGGCTCTTGCTTTTTTAGATCTTTCTAAATCCTCTCAAACAAGCAACAGCCAGTCTCAGCAAGCCCTCAGCCCCAGTGTCTCTTGCTAAGTGGCTCCAGGCCTGGCATTAGCAGCAGCCAGCCTTGGTTCACAGCCTGGGCTCACTTGGGTACCTACCTCCAAGGCCAGCACAAGTATAGCAACTATCTGCAGATTGCTTTTTATCTTCTGCCAAGTGGCCCCAGAGAGAACACAGGAGGTGGATGACTGTGGCCTGCACCACCCAGAAAACCCCAGAGCCTGCACACAAACTGGACAGCTACAGACCACACCAGAGCACCACCACCCAACCATCCCCATAAGAGACATGTTCAAGGAGTGGATACACTGGGCTCCAGAGCCCTGCTGAAGTAAGTTCTGCTCTGAGGTGTGGGCCACTGCACAGCTGATCTTCCACAGAGGGTGAAGGTTGGTGGTCAGTGGTCACAGCCAGTTCTTGCAGCTGACTGGCCTGGGTAAATCCCTACCAATCCCTACCATCATCAACAACAGTCAAAGCTCAGCCCACATGGAGGGTATACCTTGAGTACCCAGCTGAGGTGATAGGGGAGGCTGTGTCACTGGAACCTATGGGACACCTATTTCATTAGGCCACACTACCAAGACAGGGAGTCATAGAAGCTCTTCCTATTACATAGAAACAAATACAGAGAGGCTGCCAAAACAAGGAGACAAAGAAACATGGCCCAAGTGAAAGAACAGATCGAAACTTCAGAAAAGAACTAAACAAAATGGAGATAAGCAAACTGTCAGATGCAGAGTTCAAAACACTGTTTATTAGGATGCTCAAGGAACTTAGTGAGGACCTAAACAGCATAAAAAAAGATCCAATTAGGAACAAAGGATTCACTAATTGAAATAATGAGCAATTTATAGGGAAACAGCAGTAGAGTGGATAAAGCCAAGAATCAAATCATGGTTTGGAACAGCTGGAAGCATAAAACAACCAATCAGAACAAGAAGAAGAAAAAAGAATCCAAGAAAACAAGGATAATGTAAGGAGTCTCTGAGACAAATTGGTAGTTACAGAATAGCCATAGGGATGTAAATTATAGTATAGGAAATGGAGTAGCTAAAGCACTTATATACAAGACCTGTGGACATGAACATTCATGTGGGGATTGCCTGAGGGAGTGGGGGTGCTGGGTGGAGAGGGGCAAAGTGGGAAAAACTGAGACAACTGTAATAGCATAATCAATATAATAAAATTTTAGAAAAAAGAATCTACTTTAAAGTCAATATGGTAAGTCATACCAAGAATTATGAAAACAATCATATATTTTGACCCTTTAGATTAAAATCTGACTCCTGGGAATTTATTTAACATAAATAATTCAGAAGAAAAAAAGGAAATAGAAAGTAGGGGGAGGAAAGAAAGTATTAAAATGTTTAAAAGTAGCAGTAAGGAAAAACCAAGACTCATTTAGATAATTTAAATGTCCAGGAGCACTGATGTGAGAGTGTATTTTTTATATTTTTTATATATCAAATGTGGGTATATGTTGATGGAATGCAATACAGTTACAAAAATGACTATATAAAATCACTGAAAATAGCCTTGAGTGGTGTGGTTCAGTGGATTGGGCACCAGCCTGAGAACCGAGGGGTCACTGGTTTGGTTTCCAGTCAGGGCACATGTCTGGTGGTGGGTTAGATCCCCAGTTGGGGGACATGTGAGAGGCAACTGATTGATATATCTCTCACACATTGATGTTTCTCTCCCTTTGCCCCTCCTTTCCCTTCTCTCTAAAAGTAAATAAATAAAGTCTTTTTTAAATCACTGAAAAATATTTAAATATATATATTTTATTGATTATGCTATTACATTTGTCCCAGTTTTTCCCCCTTTGTCCCCCTATGTCTGGTATTCCCCCTTCCCTCCATCAGTCCCCCCTTAGTTCATGTCCATGGGTCATGCATATAAGTTCTTTGGCTTCTCCATTTCCTATACTGTTCTTAGCATTCCCCTGTCTATTTTGTACCTGCCAATTTGTTTCTTAATCCCTGCACCTTTTCCCCCATTCTCCCCATTCTCCCTATCAAGTGATAACCCTCAAAATGATCTTCATATTTATGATTCTGTTCCGGTTCTGGTTGTTTGCTTAGTTTTTTTTTTAGATTCAGTTGTTGACAGTTGTGAATTTGTCTTTTTTATTAAGAGAGGGAGAGAAACATCACTGTGTGGTTGCCTCTTGTGCATCACTCATTGGGGGCCAGCCTGCAACCCTGACTGGGAATCAAACTGGTGACCCTTTGGTTTGTAGGCCGGTACTCAATTCACTGAGCCACACCAGCTAGGGCTGAATTTGTAGCCATTTTAATGTTCCTAGTTTTGATCTTTTTCTTAAATAAGTCCCTTTAACATTTCATGTAATAATTATCTTGGCGATGATGAACTCCTTTGGTTTTACCTTATCTGGGGAACACTTTATCTGCTCCTCCATTCTAAATGATAGCTTTACTAGATAAAGTAATCTAGGTTGTAAGTCCTTGCTCTGAATGACTTTGAGTACTTCTTTCCAGCCCCTTCTTGCCTGCAAGGATTCTTTTGAGAAATCAGCTGGTAGTCTTATGGGAACTCCTTTGTAGGTAACTAACTCTGCTTTTCTCTTGCTGCTTTTAAGATTCTCTCTGTGTTTGTTTCTGTGTTAGGTAGAGCTGTTTGATCCCCTGTCTCAGTTAGTGTAGCCTGTTGTAGAAAAGGCACCTGTAAATTGTGTGGGGCAGAGACTCAGGTAATTGCCAGGGTGGGGCAACCTGCTTCACTGCTCTGTGGCTCTGTGTGAGGGGAAGGCTCAGAGAACTGACATTGCCACTGTCTGGCTTCTGGAAATTTGCCCAGCACTCGCCCTGTTTCCGGTCACTTACCTCACTCCCCATATTTCACTGGTGCCCTTCCAGCTGTTGTTCTGGTGCTGAATCCCACAGCAGGTGGATTTGCATATGTTCTAAGACTGTGTGAGTCCTTTAAGTGGAGTCTCTTGAAAATCTGGCACTTTCTTTTGTTGCCTCAACCCCCCACTGGTTTTTACAGCCAGAAGTTATGGGTATTTATCTACCTGGCCCTAGAACCCTGGACTGTGTGGTCTGGCCTGGGGCTGGGATCTCTTGCTTCTAAAGTATCCCTCCTGACTTTTATCTACCACATGTGAGTACGGGACTGCCCCTTGTACCACCACTGCTGCCAGCTCTCCACACCACACCATGTCTGTACATCTCTCTTCCCTTCTCCACATCTCCGCCCCTCTTACTGGTCTAGATGAATTCGGCTCTTTACATCCTTGGTTGTTGGACTTCCATACAGTTCGATTTTGGACAGTTCTGGGTGTTACTTGTTTTGAGATTTAATTCTTTCTGTGGTTTTGAGAGGAGGTGAAGTGTGTCTGTCTACCTCCTGAAAACTATTTACAAAATACTACTAAGGGAGAAAAGACCACAAAACTATATTTACACATTTTACAATGGTATTGTAATTCTGAATGTTTATACATAGTTTGGAAAAAGATAATGAGAATTAAAATACTGTTGCATAAGAATGACGTATAATTGGGTAATATTTTTAAGTTGGTTGTACATTCTTTTCTGGAGTGTTCTATTAATAGAAATGTAATATAATCATAGTGTTAATCTGGTCAAGAATTGAATTGTGACAGCAGGATCTATTTTAGTGATTAGAAAAGTGTCTATAGTACTTAAACCAACCCACTTAAAAATCATGATTATTTCAAATTCTTATTTAAAAAGAAACTAATTTTGCCCTGGCTGGTGTAGCTCAGTGGATTGGGCATGGGCCTGTGAACCAAAGGGTTGCCAGTTCGATTCCCAGTCAGGGGACATGCCTGGGTTGTGGGCCAGGTCCCCAGCTGGGGAAGCACGAGAGGCAACCACACATTGATGTTTCTCTCCCTCTCTTTCTCCTTCCCTTCCCCTCTCTCTAAAAATAAATAAATACAATCTTTAAGAAAAAAGAGAGAAGCTAATTTCCATAATTCTATATACTTTTTCTGATAGCGAATTTAGAAAATATAGAAAAGTGCAAAATTGTAAAAAAGAACCCACATAATTCTATCACAGAGATAGCTTTCCAGTATTTTTCTGCCTACTTATTTATGTTTCTCCATAATGGATAATTTGAAATAGGCATAGGTTATTTCGTAACCTCTGTTTTTATTGAAAAAGCTGATGATGCGCATTTTCAAATGAGTGTGCTATCTAGAGGTCTGTGGACACCCGGTTTCCTAGGGGCCTGGAATGGGATAAAACTGATTTGCTGATTTGCTTTCCCCTCCTCATTCTGCTGTAGAAATTGGTGTGTTAGCCAAGACTTTCATTGAACAAGGGAAGCTCATTCCAGATGATGTCATGACTCGACTGGCCTTTCATGAGCTGAAAAACCTCACCCAGTATAGCTGGCTATTAGATGGTAAGTGAAGGGTCGCTAGCATTTCGGCTGCTCAAAATGAGTGTGGGCAGGAGAATGAGCCTTTCCTGGGCTATAGACGTCACAGATGGTGGGCAGGGAGCCTGGGTTCTGCCACTAATCACCCTGAGGTCTTGGGCCAGTCATCTTCCCTGACTGCGTTGTCGCCGTCTTCTTCTTCTTTTTCTAATTCTGCTTATTTTAAAGATTTTATGTATTAGTTTTTTTCGAGAGAGGGTAAGGAAGGGAGAAAGAAAGGGAGGGTGAGAAAACATCAATTAGTTGCCTCTAGTACGGGCCCCAGCCAGGGATAAACCTGCAACCTAGACACGCTCCCTGACCAGGAATCAAACTAGCAACCTTTCCCTTTGTGGGACGACGCCCAGCCAATGAGCCCTGCTGGTCAGGGCTCTGCCCGCGTCTTTATCCGCATGGAATAGGGAAGTGAACTGCATGATTTCTAAGTTCTTCAGATGTGACTTTAGTTCTTTCCCCTCCTTTGAGAATTTTTTTATGAAGAGGAAGTATTACCAGGAAAGGAAGAAAGAAGGCTAATTGGCAGTCAGCTGTAAACTGGCAGAGGAGTGGCAGAGTGGGTTGCTTTTTAGTTTCTGAAGAGAGAGAAGTGTTTATTATAAGGACTGGGCTCACATGATTATGGAGGCTGACATAGCCCAGGATCTTCAGGGTGAGTTGGCAAGCTGGGGATCCAGGAGAGCTGACAGTGTACTTCCAGTCTGAAGGCCAGTAGGCTAAGGCCCAGGAAGAGCTGTTTCAGTTTGAGTATGAAGGCAGGAAAAAACCCACGTCCCAGCTCCAAGGCACCCAGGCAAGAGGAATTTCCACTATTCAGGGGAGGGTCAGCCTTTTTGTTATATTCAGACCTTCCGTAGATTAGATGAGGTCCGTCCACATTAAGGAGAAAAATCTGCTTTATTAGTCTGCTGATTTAAATGTTAATCTCATCCAAAAACACCCTCACAGACACACCCCCATAATGTTGCACCCTGAACAAATATCTGGGCATCCTGTGGCCCAGACAAGTTGACACATGAAACTAACCATCGTAGTTGCCCTACAGCTGTGACCAGCTTGGCTGGTGCTACTGCTTGTGTTCAAATTGCTCAACATTAATTAATTCTCTTCCTTCTTCCTTCTCTTTCTTCCTTCTTTCTCTTCCTCTGTTCTTTTTGTTTGTTTGTTTTTGTTTTTTAATTTGTAAAGGTTTTCCAAGGACTCTTCCTCAGGCAGAAGCCCTGGATAGAGCTTATCAAATAGACCTAGTGATTAATCTGAATGTGCCCTTTGAAGTCATTAAGCAACGCCTCACTGCTCGCTGGATTCATCCAGCCAGTGGCCGAGTCTACAACATCGAATTCAACCCGCCCAAAAATGTGGTGAGTAGTTGTGAAGCTGGCCTTCCACATAGCAGTCTCCACTCCTCTCGTTCTCATGAGAGGAGAGAAGTCATAAAACTTCCCATAAAACTGAGAAGTTTTATGATTTTGGAAGTTCTGCCTGACCAAAACTCCTCAGGTTATATTCTCAGGTTACTTGGTGTGGTTCTTGTCTGGTCCACTCAGTTTGTTAGTGAAGGTGTCCCCAGGAGTAACAGGCGTTTGTTATTCCTTCAAAAGCATGTATTGGCACTCAGTGCCAGGGAGTGTGTTAGGAGTTGAGGAAATAGCGACACGTTGGTTTATTTAGGGCTTGCAGTTTAGAGTCCCAGTCTGTGGCTGAATCATGTATATGTGACATATGTGTCCAAATCTGTAGAGAATTTCTACAAAATTTTATCTGAGCCAAACAGGGATATAGCTGGGAGCAAGACTTCAACAGACTGAGAAAAATGTTCCCTAGAATGGCAGTTTGCAGCTTCTTTTATGCATTTTGAATTAAGGAGGGAACATAAGGAAGATCACATGGAAGGTGGGAGGGAGCAAGGCAGGGATTGGACAGTGGGGTAGTTAACAAGATTATGTGTTCTCTTGAGGGTGGCTTCCGAGGGTCTGAAAAGAGGCATTTCAAAGGTGTGTTCACCTAGATGCACAGAAGCAAAGGACAGGGCTTGCTTAAGGCAAAGAAAAATCTTTTACTAAAGAAGGCATATGCCTGGGCATGACTGCCCACTATGACCTGCCCACTTAGGAATTTAGAAAGTTACCTAGTGAGGTTACTTTCTTTAGGGCCCCTTATTTGTCCACAGTATGTGTCTAGAGGCTGCTCAGAAAACCTTTTACTCTAAGGAGACTGACCCTGCTGAAATGATCCTAGGGCTCTCCTGTCTGTGTGTTGCAATGGTCTGGGTTTGGATTTGATCCCATTTACTTAAAAGCACATTTGTGTGCCTGGTGCTTGCATAGAGAAGATACCTGTTTAAAATTCATGTAACTGCTTATAAAAATAAGATGTTTGATACCAGCCTGTTCTAACTCCCACTCAGGGCATTGATGATCTGACTGGAGAGCCTCTCACTCAGCGTGAGGACGACAGACCAGAGACAGTTGTCAAGAGGCTGAAGGCTTATGAAGCTCAAACACAGCCCGTCTTGGAGTACTACCAGTGAGTGTCACTTTTCAGAACTTCTCTCGAATGATGAAGCACTAAAGCAGATTTTGATCATCTGTGCTTTACAGCTGCAATGCTAAAACGAGAAGGTCTAATTCTAATTGATTTAGATAAAAAGGACATTTATTAGCATGTGTAATAGAGAAGTGCAGATGGTAGGTTGGGCTCAGTCACCCCTCGGTTTGAACAGTGTTTTGTCATTCTCTCAACTCCGCATTGGCTTTGTCCTTAGGCTTCCTGCATAGTTGCAGACAGTTGCCAGGAACAGCCCTTTCATGAAGGGTATAGAGGTCACCTCTTCCCCAGTGAACAAAAGCCCCGAGTGTCATGCAGAGTGAATTCCCGGACCAGCCACTGTGGTGAGAGAATGCCCTGCACTAACTGCTGTAGCCCTAGGCCTGAACCAGTCCCAGGGTCGGGAGAGATTTCACTGATTGGTCCACACCCGGAGCTGGAAGTGGGTCAGTCTCACCCAAACTCTGCTGTCAGAGGGAAGAAGGGCCGGAACGAATGCCTGGTCGGCCAACCTAATCATTCCCCTCGTTGCTTCAATAGGACAGAAGACTCGAATAGCAACCAGTCCTCACATCCTTTATTTGGCTAATCGTTTTTTAAAGGTTATATTCTACCCTAGTTTTGTCTGCTCTGCAGGGAATTTCACAACAAATATGGGATTTATACTGAATAAATATTTGACTCAGGCTAAGAAACAGTATAGTTTCCTTACTCACCCTTTGCCTCTCTTTACAAAGGATTTGATCACAACCCCTTTCCTTTTATTCATTCATGTACTGAGCAATGATGTAGCATCAAAACAGTACAGTATTGTGATTAGGGCAGATTCTGGAGCCAGTCAGCCCAAGTTCAAATCTCATGTATTAACTTGGCCTTAACCTGTTTTCTCCCCTATGAAACGGGAGTTAGAGTGTTGAAAAATTGAATTAATGTGTATAATTCTTAGAATTAGACACATCGTTAGCACTTTATAATGATAAGTTGTTGTTGTTGTTGTTGTAGGAATTGGGTAAGTATGCACTGAAACTAAAGCAGTAGTCTGAAACAGTTTGAACAGTTTTTTCTGGAGGGTAAAATTATTAAAAAGTTAGTGATTCACTTCTCACAGTAGCTGTTAACTATCATTGTATTAGATTGGCCAAAAAGTCCATTTAGTTTTTTCTGTAAAATAAAAGACATACTTTTCATTTTCACCAGTAACTTTATTGATTTGGATATTTTGAGTATGTTGGCTATCTACAGCATGGTAGAATGTTAGTTGTTCTCGATTAATGTCTTGATTTAATCGCTATCAACTTCAACTGATCTACTCAACTGTGGAGCACTGTCCAGCAAGAAATTTCTAGCACGAAACTTGGCAAACCACTTTTGGCACATTCGATCAGTCACAGTACTGTCTCCATACACTGTACAAATCATTTTTTGCATTTCCATTGTGTTTATCTTTCTTGAAATAATAAAGCATAATGTGCCAAATGCTGCTTATTTTCTTCCATCTTCAATATTAAAATGGCTACACAAAAATTCACCAATTTTGATTAATTTTTTAAACACATGCTAATATGACACCTGTCACAATACAATTTAACAAAATTGTTTCAAATGAAGATAAAGACAACTAAGCGCTACTAGAGCCATCGCTTGGAAAAAACTAAATGAACTTCTTGGCCAACCCGATACGATTTGTGTAATGAGCCTGGCTCTGTAGATGTCAGCGCTGTGGCCCTGGGCAAGGGATTCAACCTCTGTGCCACAAATTTCACTGGTAAAATCACAGCAACATTAAACAGTACCTACTTTATAGGGTTATTAAGGGAATGAAGTGGGAGAATCCATGTAGACTTACAACAGTCCTGGCACTATTAAATCACTCAGTGTTACCAATTTTACTCTGTGGACTATGCTAGGCTCTTGGTCCAACAGATAGACTCAGTCCCCGCCAAACCCCAAGAAACTCACTTCTGTCTATGAACGCAGAGAACGGGCTAAGCAATTATTTGTCATAAAATGTGCTTATACCAACCAGGAGCCTAATTCACACTAGTCTAAGCAAAAGGGAAATTTGCCCTGGCTGGTGATTCCCAGTCAGGGCACATGCCTTGGTCCTTAGTAGGGTGCTTGTGGGAGGCAACCACACATTGATGTTTACCTCCCTCACTTTCTCTCTCCCTTCCCCTCTAAGAAATAAATAAATAATCTTTTTTTAAAAGGGAAATTTATTGGTCATGCAACTTATATGTCCAAAGGTAGATGCTGGGTCCAGGTGTTCAATCCGTGTCATCAGGCTTTGCCCTTCTCAGCTCCGTTTTGCTGTGCTGGCTTCAGTCACAGGTGGGCTTGCCCTGTGTCAGTGCCTCCGCATTACAGCTTACCTTGCTTTCTTACCCAGTACCAGTTCAGCTTCCCCAGAAGAAAAGAAAGCCTCTTTGCCAACACAAGTCCTAGAGTTGGCACTGATTAGCTCCTTATGCCCATTCTTGAAGCTGGGAAGTGGGGACAGTCCCCCCAGAATCTCAGGGACCCAGTTTTTCATGGTGAAGATGTTGTTTCCCAAATGCAGTTCGTTAGTCACTTAAAATTAAACAGAAGAAGGGAGAGTGCACTGTTGTTGAGCTGATGACAACACTGTAAAGCCATTAATGGAGGTGATCACCAAATGCAGTGGAAGTAGGGATTGATCTGTCAGAATGTGGGAGGGGAAGTTGGGGAAGCTGCAGGTAAGAAGTCTATGGCACAGGTCTCTAGGAGGTAATCCTGGTCTTTTGAGGCCTCTGGCTTTTTACCTCCTGTCATTGCTTGAAGCTTTTCCTTCCAGACTGCAGCACATAGAACCAAGAATTTAAAGAGGTATTTGCAACAACCTTAGTGACAGTCAGCATTGTTATTTTAAAATACCGACAGCTATATTGTTGTTTTTGAAATTCTTTCAGCCCCAATACATTTATAGTGTAATTGGACCTGTGTTGACAAACAATATGATGCTCTTACTCTTTAGAGGATCAATATTTGAAGCAGGTTTTATTACATAAAAGTTAAAATGTTCATCCAAGGTACATCTTTGGGATTGAATAGATGCCTTATAGTTGTGTCCTCAGTAATTAACCGTTTTTGACACTAGCTTGATTTTCAAGTGCCCCTTCTGGAGGCTTACAGCTGCTTAGAAGCTTGTTCTCTCAAAAGCTTTAGGAAATGAAGTTAGAAACAGGAGGGCTTCTAACATGAAAAGAACACTATATTTGCATAATGCCTCACCTTAGCAAGAACACGGTGGGAATTATTTAAAGTAGTCTTAATTTAAATGAGGTATCAAAAAGGAATGCCTCGACCCCCAGCAAAACCTCTGAAAATTCAGTAACAAGGTTGCAGAGGCATGATCTTATTTTTGGAAAGAATTAACTAGCGATCTTCTGTTGCCTTTGTGCAGCCTGTAGGCCAGTGTGTGTGAGCTGGTTGGAGGAGCAGGGTAAGCAAGAGGGATGCCAGTATGTGTGGAGGGAACCCGTGTGTTTTGAAAGGGAACCTTAGGATTCTCATCCTCCTCACCACTTTACCTGCCCAGGAAGCTGGAGTAAATAGACTTTGATTGCTGGTCTGATACCAAGTCAGACAAAACTGCCTGGGGAGAACAGGAGAAACACAGTAAAGAAGAATACATTTATTCCTCTTCCCCTGACATTCACGAGTAGCACAGAGGGAAAAAAATAAACAGGTGAAAAAAAGGGAAGCACAATCAAGTGTTAGGAAACTGTTGTTTAAATGAGTAGTAGACAAAGAAAACCAGGGGGTATACTGGTGTCTTAGAGGCTGTATGTTTGAAAAGCTTGGTTTGGGCTCTTACATCTGTAACACTCCGTTTTATCAGTTAAGTAAGGAACTTGAACTTTAGAAAGGATTAAATGAACTGCTACACATAGAGCACTTAATACATGCTCAATAGATGATAGATGCTGTTATTATTATTATTATTATTATTATTATTTTACATTTTTTAAAACCCTCACTCGGACTTCTGGCCAAGATGGAGGCATAGGTGGAAATACTATACCTCCTCACACAACCAAAATTAAGGACAACAAAGATTTAGAAACAAAAACACAACCAGAACAGACAGAAAACTGAACTGTATAGAAGTCTGACAACCATTCATCCAGACTGGTAAGAGGTGTGGAGTCGGTGGCTGGCAGAGAGGGATCGCAGCAGGAAAAGGCAGTGGCTGCCAGACCCGGGTGTGGGGCAGAAATGAGCAGACCCAGTGAGGCACACAAGGCGGTTGGCTGTCCACAGATACACATTCATGTGTAGATAAACCAGGTGAAAACAGGCAGTGAGACAGACTGTGCAACCCAGGGCCCCAGCACTGGGAAATAAAGCCTCAAAGCACCAATTGAAAAGGTGCTGGGAGAGACTCCCAGCTTCACAGGAGAGTTCATTGGAGAGACCCACAGGGTCCTAGAATGGACACAAGCCCACCCACCTGGAAACCAGCACCAGAAGGGCCCAATTTGCTTGTGGGATGCAGCAGAGGGGACCGAAATCCGGGAGAGCAGAGCAAATGTCATTGTTCCCTCTTTGACCCAGCCCCCACATACAGCATCACAACCCAGCCACTGGGTTGCCTCACCCTGGTGAACACCTAAGGCTCCGCCCTTCATACATAATAGGTGCAAACAGACCAAAACATTATGGCTCAAACAGAAGAACAAATTAAAGCCCCAGAGCCAATACTTCTAAGAGACCAAGAGATAGCCAACCTATCAGATGCACAGTTCAAAACACTGGTGATCAGGATGCTCATAGAACTGGTTGATTCTGGTCCCAAATTAGATGAAAAAATGAAGACTACATTAAGTGAAATAAAGGAAAATGCACAGGGAACTAATAGTGATGGAAAGAAAACTGGGACTCAAATCAATGGATTGTACTAGAAGGAAGAAAGAAACAACCAAACAAAAGAATGAAGAAACAAGAATTCAGAAAAGTAAGGAGAGGCTTAGGAACCTCCAGGACATCTTTAAACATTCTACCATCCGAATTATAGGGGTACCAGAAGGGGAAGAGGAACAGCAACAAGTGGAAAACTTATTTGAACAAATAATAAAGGAGAACTTCCCCATTCTGGCAAAGGAAACAGACTTACAGGAAGTCCAGGAAGCTCAGAGAGTCCCAAAGAAGTTGGACCCAAAGAGGAACACAAGGCACACCATAATTACATTACCCAAGATTAAAAGAAGAATTCTAGAAGCAGCAAGAGATAAGGGGACAGTCACCTACAAAGGACTTTCTATCAGACTTGTCAGCTGATTCCTCAAAAGAAACTTTACAGGCAAGAAGGGGCTGGAAAGAAGTATTCCCAGTCATGAAAGGCAAAGGACCTATATCCAAGATTGCTCTATCCAGCAGAGCTTTCATTTAGAATGGAAGGGCAGATAAAGTGCTTGTCAGATAAGGTCAAGTTCAAGGAGTTCATCATCACCAAGGCCTTATTATATGAAATGTTAAAGGGACTTATCTATGAAAAAGAAGATAAAAAATATGAACAGTGAAAGGACAGCAGACTCACAGTTATTAACAACCACACTTAAAGCAAGTTAAGTGGACAGCTAAACAGGAGCGGAGTCACAGAAATGGAGATCACATGGAGGGTTAGCAACAGGGGAGTGGGAGAAGAGAGGAGGAAAAGGTACAGAGAATAAGTAGCATAGATGGTGGGGAGAAAATAGATGGGGAGGACAAGAGTAGTGTGGGAAATGTAGAAGCTAAAGAACTTATGACACATGGACATGAACTAAAGGGGGGAATGTGGGTGGGAGGGGGTGTGCAGGGTGGAGGGGAGTAGGGGGGGAATGGGGCCACTGTAATGGCATAATTAATAAAATATAATCTTCACTCGAAGACATTTTTTCATTGCTTTTTAGAGAGAGAGGAAGAGAGAGAGGAAGAGAGAAAAACATTGATGCAAGAGAGAAGCATCGATAGGCATAGGCACCCCAACCTGAGATCATACACACCTGGACCAGGGATCATATGCACCTGGGATTGGGGATGGAACCATAACCTGGGTGTGTGCCCTGACTGGAAATCTAACCTGCAGCCTCTCAGTTGTGGGACGATGCTCCAACCAACTGAGCCATACTGGCCAGGGTGGTGCTATTTTTTTTTTCACATTTTTTTTATTGTTGTTCAAGTACAGTTGTGTCCATTTCCCCCTCACCTTCCCCAACCCCATAAGTGCTATTATTTTTTAAGTGGCCATTTCCGTAAGCCAGAGAACCCAACTGAAGCTAAAATCCAGGTTTTCCAGTGCCCATCCAAGTGGTTTTCTTGATCACACAGACCTCATACTTACTGAGAATCCTAAATCCACATTATCATCTGTTAAGAATCATTTTGAAAAAGCTTATGATGAAGAGTTGTGTTTTTTGTTTTGTCATCTTTAGGAAAAAAGGAGTATTGGAAACATTCTCTGGAACCGAAACCAACAAGATCTGGCCCCATGTATATGCCTTCCTACAAACAAAAGTCCCACAGATTAACCAGAAAGCACCAGTTACTCCATGAGGAAAGCACGTGAAACTAGTAAGATGAGCAGAAGCTCCTCATTCGTGCATTTAGATGCTCCTTGTCCTGAGACTCTGATGTGTGAATTCTTTGAAGATTATGTTTCATTTCTACTGATTTTATTCTGGAAATTAAGGGTGTGCCAAATGTATCAGATACTCATCTTTTGAAATCATCTAGTATGTTTTATCCAGTTATCTTCTGTGGGTACACAATTCAAAAACATCAGAGATCTCTTGTGAAAAATCGCTTAGAGGAATTAGTAGTAATCTAACTCTGTCCAGAAGAGTAAGTGGTTGATAGAGTTCCCTTATTTTTCTGGAAAAGTAAAAGAAAAAAAACCTGTGTCACTTGGAAATAGCACCTCATCAGAGGGTTTTGCTTAGACATGCCAAAACGCCGCATTTAGCACTGTGGTACGTGGTTTTGTGGTGCCGTCTGTCTGTAAAATCCCAGAAAAAAAGCAGCTGGATTTACATATTAATTGAAGGATGCAAATTAACTGCTGGTTCTACACTAAGAAATTTGTAAGCTAGCCATATATGTTGTATTTATTTTGTTGTTAAGTGTATCTTCAGGTTACTCAGAATTTTCAGTTTATTAACATAGAGAGTACTTTCCTATAGGATTTAACTAGAAATTGACATTAAGTCTTGTGAAAGGACTGGAGTTGGATTTTCAAAGGAAAATGTAAAGGCCTATGTTTTCAGATGTTACTTGGGTTAAGATATGTGCTTTTGGACCTACTTGCTGGTTTCTCTTTTTGATCAAAATGTATGATCTGCCTTGATGAATAACATTATAAAGTAAGCATGCTTTTTTCATTAAGAAATAGATCAGGTCTGCCTGGGGAAAACTGTCTGGACAAAAATAGCAATCATAATTAGTAAACAGGTAATGGCGATGGAGAGGATTTACATGCCAGGTTAAAAAGGACCTAGAAGCCACATGTGCTGAGGGAGTTCAGTCCTAATCAAAGTTGACACCTGCTAGCATTCAGTGCTGCCCTATCTTAAGGGTAAAGAACTCTGCTGGTGAATGAAGCCTAAGCAGCCATTTTAAAATCAGTGACTTGATTCCTTAGTGGAGCAATAAGGACGCATGCTTATGTGCACACTGTGGCCTGGTAGAAAGAGTGGAGCAACAGGAGAGGTGGAGAGACCTGACTGTCTTCAGTGGCATATTTACTTTTACTTGGTGCCAAATCAAACGAAACGAGTCCTCGTACAGCTGTTAAAAACTGCCTTTGAACATGTGTTTTATTCTAGGCACCTAAAATGCAATTGCCTATAAGTGGTTCTTACTTATTTTGGTGGGGGGGGGGACACTTTTCTTTCGATTTTTAAAAAATTCAACTTGATCTTTCAAAATGGACCAGTGCTTTTAAAAAGGATTCCTTTCTTCATAAAACTTTCTATACTGCCTTATTTGAATGTTAATATTAACGTGCTAAAAATGTGAACTACTAAACTTATGATTTATCACTAGGTTATCAGGCATACATTAGTACAAAGGTATTAGAATACAATCCCATTTGACTGTGGTGATCACTTTGTCTTTTGGTAGGTCACAGAGCCCACTCCATTCCACCTTCCATTCTGCTGCCCCGATGACTGCCTCTGAACTAGTGACTCATTTCTAGTAATTGTCTTAAAACAGTACACAAGCTGGTTTCCTGTCTTGTTATACTTCATCTCCTGCTATAGTGTGGCAGCCATATTGGTCTTCTTGACACCCTTGAGATTTGTAATCAGAAATGGGAGAACATGGCTATGAAATTTAAAATTCTTCTTCCCTGTGACCATTCCCTCCTCACCCCCAAAACAACCCAAAGTTTTGCACATGCATCTATTAGTTTGGGAAACACCTGCACTATTGCTTTTTTCTTTATTAAAGCAAACAGTACTTGTTTTATGTTGAATTAATATCAGACAGTTCTGATGATTAGCATTGCTGAGGAGCACATCTGCTAAAAAAAAAAAAACGCAAACCACATGCTGTAACGATCATGGTTATGATTTATGTGCCTCATGGAAACATGCCTGGAGCTGAATGCTGGGCCTAGAAGCTACTGTCTTAAAGGCTAATGAGAACAGAACTTAAACCCACTACCCTATTTTCTGGAGTGCCACTTATTTTGGTACACCTTTCATAAGCAGAATGTGTTGTGGGAAATGGAAACTGGCAGATAGTATCATCAGAAATTTTATTTCTCAATTCCATTTGAAATAGGTTAAATACTGGCTTTTCCCCCAGCTATTCAGAAGGGCAGTCCAGCAAAGACAAATATTTTGGATACTCACTGTTTGGGACAAAATGTACCTATGTTAATAACAAATCATGGTAATTACAGAACTTGGATTAAACTGTTTTAATACTTGCAACCAACAGCAAGAATAAATTTGTATTTTCAAACATGTTTATAAGTTGTGTCTCCTTATTGACAACAATAACAAAAAACTTCCCAGACACTAGTAAACTGCATAAATACTTTTCCTAGAATCCAAGACTGATTTCGGAGGTTCCAGTTAAACATTTTAAAACACAACATAAAGTCTAGCTGTGGTTAAAGCTTCTGGGAAAAGCCATTGTGCTCTGCAGTGTTCATACCCTACTGTACCTTTTCTTTTTGTTTAAAGCTCACTAGGGGCCATGTGTTTATATATATATAGCACTGAGTAAAGCTACACTGTTATACCAGATGGCACTTTGGAAGGATTTTACTAAAGTGTAAATCAATCTGGTGATGTGTCATATTTTACCAAAGGGCTCTAAAGTGTTTGAAGAATAAATAAGCATGAAGAATCATGCTGTTTAAAAAAACAAGTGAAAGACATTGGAATTTTTATCATTTTCCTACTTAGAAAAGATCAAACTTCAAGTCTAATTCTTTAAGGCTTATGAGAATGGTTATGATTTATCAGATGGTAAGCAATTCATAATTTTTATTAATCTTTGTATCCCATTAACTTACATAGTAAGCAAGCAGATACTTATTAAATGAATCAGCTTCTTAGACCTGTGAAACAGTACATACATGTCCATTATAAATGAGAAATGGATGCATAGAATTTTAGGGACTTAATAAAACATGTATGATATAGAGGCAAAATTGAAATTAAAAAGCCTGGCTGCAACCCAGACGAGTACATATCTGTCCCACATCAATTTAAGAACTGAAATACATGACTGACTTTGAGAACAATAAATTGACATCATTTTATTTTTCTCAGAAAATAGGTTAACTTCAGGATCACATTTCTAAACCCACCTACTAGATTCATATTCTTTGGGCAGCGCATTAATTCACTCTTAAAAAAGTAATAGGAGCCCTGGCAAGGTGGCTCAGTTGATCATTGTCTCATACACCAAAAAGTTGTGGGTTCGATCCCCAGTCGGGGCACATACCTGGGTTGCAGGTTTGATCCCTGGTCGGGGTGCATATGGTAGTTAACTGATTGATGTTTCCCTCCATCCCTCTCTAATAAATAATCTAAAATCAATAAATATATCCTCAGATAAGGATTTTAAAAAGGGTAGGAGTGATAGGATAATCTTAAAGACCCAATTTTCCTAAAAAGAGGGTATAGATCAATCATAAACTCATTAGGCAAAATATGAAAGAGCCCAGTAATAGTATAATTGAATGAAAATGTTAACCATCTGTCGTCTCCTGGGGAATAATTTTAAATGAGTAATATCTCCAGTACCACTGATAAAAATGAAAGTTAACAGGGAGTAAATGGAGTGGTAGCTATTTAATTTTTAAAAAAACTTATTAGAATATTAATTTTATCAAGTGAAACAAAACTCCTTGATGGATACTTTGATGTCAAAGATGTTTCATTTATCCGCTTGGACTGTCCATGATTTGTGTCTACAGAAAACCGTCCAACCTGAAATATGAATTATCCCTTTGCTTAGTATACATTTATTACTTCTTAAGAAACAGAAAAGATGACATTTCTATTAATAGGAATTAGTTAATACTAAAGAAAAATAAAAGGATGTCAATTTACTGTTGTTCTTAGAACTAAAGTACTCCTAAATATGTAAAGTTACAGTCTTTTAAGTGCAAATTATGGCATCAGTCCTTGGATCCTAAAATAAATCCAATCATTTTCACACTAAAACATAGAACACACTTCCCTTTGAAAGTAAAAAAACATATATACACATATATAATGCTTTAAGAAAGCTCTTCAACAATACCTGTTTTAGAAAACAAAAACAGAAAACCCTTCAAGAATAGTTCACTCAGTTCATTGATAATTTCTCTCCTTCCAGTCTACAATCATTAATACCTCTAACTTAAAGAAGGTAAGTGGAACTGAAAACAATCTGGATGCTTATAAGCAAATCTTGGGGAAAAGGGAAGCTGAGGAATGGAAAGTAATGGTTTGAATATCATTTCAGTGAAATCGAGGATGTTACTGCTGTGTACATTCTTTATGTGACAGGAAGGGAAAAGTAAGAGCTTGCTGCAGAATAGAAAAACAAAAATTTCTGCAACTAGGTCACTGGTCAAAAAATTACTACCATGTAAATTAATCAAACATTTTATTGTAGAGCATATCTTTGTATCAAAATCACAAAAGAGTTTTATTCTGAAAACCAGTAAGATTGTGATGTTACGTAAGTATGATTCAGTAAGTCCAGTCCATTTGTATGGGTACTAAGTGCCTTACCACCTCAAGTTAGTTAAAACAAGGTGCAAATGAGGCCACAGTTACAAGTCGGATCATCATATGGATTTTTTAGCAATATTTGGTTTTTCAAGTTGAGACATGTATACCTAATCCCAGTTAGTCATCTTCCAAATGTTTGCTACTAGTCTCAATGGAAGCACACCAAAGGCTATATCCAATATAAACAAAGCTCGTGTGCCTGAAGTCCAAAGATTAATCCTCAAATAGCAAGGATAGCATAATTAAAATTGTCATCTAATTCCAAATAAAGTGAATCATCAAATATCCTGGCATACTTGAGGTGAATTATACAGGAAGTAGTAAAGCTCAAAAGCACTGTATGGTAACTGAACTATGGAGAGAAATGGCAAACGCAATAAAAGCCATCACTACCAATACGAATACCACATTCTCACAAGTAGTTGGCAGCTCGAGGCAGTTAGCTCTAGAAGCGTTCTCTCATCTTTTAAAAAAGTCCTCAGGCTACATCAGAGTGAAACAAACAATAAACCTAATTTTAAAAGTCAGATCATTTTTTTCTGTTTGTTCCTACAGGCCATGAGTATCCTTTTAAAACTTGCTCCCTGAGAGATCTCACACTATGTCAAGAAATTAAGAGTGAGCTTGAAAGTTGGTCTTATTTTTTAAAAATTTATATTAGCTTTATTACTTTTTAAGTCACAGTATCCCTTACTATTAAAAAATCAACAGGGTAAAATCAATTTTTAAGGAATACACTTTTGAGAATAGTTAAGGATTTAATTTAGTGTCTATATAAATTTGATATTAGAGTCAAAGATTTATTTAACTGATGGTGCCGAAAATACAAATACAATATTATTTTAAGGGGAAAACTTTTTAAAAATTGGTATCACCCAGCTTATTTAGTAAAGTAGATTATCAACTACTGATTTATTGCTTTTAACATGATAAAACACCAGATCTGACAGCTAAATTAGCGGTAGGATACAAGGACATTTTTGTCTTTAATCATTTTTATAGAGTAGGGCATATACATATCCATATAAAAAGACTGTAGCAGATGCCTCCTAGAATCAACCAGTTCTTGTAAACATTGCATTTGTGCAGATTTTCATACTTTGATTCCAAAATTGAGAACAATAAGATTAAAGGCAAATTTAGTAGCAAAAAAAACCAAAGTTCAGTTTGACTTCTTGTAACTTATGGTACCACTCCTCTCTTCAGAAAAAACAAAACAAAACAAAAAAATCTAGCAGCACATAAAAAAAATTTTACAAAACATTTCAGTACTCTTTTTGCCCCTCCCATCAAAAACCGAACAAAAATAAAGTGCAGCACCCATAAAAGTGTCAAGAAAATAGCCAAGTTCTTCCTTTCTTGTAACAAAATAGTACTTGGCCTCAGCAGTCTTAACCAAATTATACAGTGTCCATCATTTTCGGTTCATCATCTTCTTTATGTACCACTGAATTTAAACTGCAGAGAGCTGTATTGATAGAATGCTGAAGATAATCTGGATTCTGAAAAAAAAAAGTATGGGGAAGAAACAATGGATAATAACTAGGTTTATGCTAGTATATACAACTACATAATCTGCCTCACATTCTCTTTTTCTCTGCAGTGTAGGAGAGTAGGAAAGAAGATGGACTTTGAAGTCAGATTTGGGTTGAAACCCAAGACAGAGAGATAGAAAAATAGATTATGATCACTTAATCCAAAGAGATGTGATAAAGAAGGAAGATGTATGTAAAAAATAATGCAATGAACACTACCCTTTTTCTACTTTAAAAAATAGCCTTTAAAAAATACTGTGTATTGCCCTGGCTGGGAAGCTCAGTTGGTTAGTGTGTTGACCCCATTCATGGTTCAATCCCCAGTCAGGGCACACCGAAAAATCAACCAATGAATGCACCAGTAAGTGGAACAACAAATCACTGTTTCTCTCTCTCGCACAAGTCAATCAATCAAAAACATGGAAAAATACTGTATAATTTTAATTATTTAATCATGCAAGGCTACCTCTTCCATGTGATTACATGTAGCTACTGATAATTTAAAATACAAACATTGCTTTAAGTCAGAAATGTATATTATTATCTAATTATAACAGTAAAACTAAATATGCAACATAAATAAGAAATTATAGCTATCTTCAGTTTATGTTGGTTTCTCAAAGGTTAAAACAAAGTCAAGTGAGAAAATCCTTCATTTTTTGACAGGTACACTAATCCAATTGTTAAAAATTGGGAAGCACAATTTTAGTTTTTATTTACTTTTTAAACAGAAAAATAACTCAAATGTTCTGTTTGTCCATTTCTAAAACTATGAACAGAAAACTTTATACAATAAATGCAAAAATAGCCCTGGTTGGTGTGGCTCAGTGGATTGAGCGCTGGCCTATGAACCAAAGGGTCACTGGTTCAATCCTGGTTGGGGCACATGCCTGGGTTGCAGGCCAGGTCCCAGGTGAGAGGCAACCACCTGATATTTCTCTCCCTCTCCTTCTCCCTCCCTTCCACTCTCTCTGAAAATAAATAAGATCTTTAAATGCAAAAATAAAACCACTATTTGTTAAAGAAACTTGAGTAAGAACATAAGCCCTTAACCTAGGAATTTAGGCCAAAAATTCAATTTTCTCTACTCAAGTTGATCTGAATATCTGCTAGATACTTAGCATTTTATTAGTTTATCACCTAGTGTCATTTAATTTATTTAATAAACACCAGTGAGGGAAACAGTCCAACCAAGAGATAGATGTCTCAAACCTCCCCATGCCATAGGAAGGCAGGGTTTTCAAAAGATCCTCTAAATTTCAAAAGATCCTTTAAATAAAAGTATAATACTTTGTGGTTCTTTTACTTTAAAAGTAAAAACAGCTAGCCAGAAGTTGTATTATTCCCAATCAGGTCTTTACGGAGGAAGTGGCACAAAAAGCTGACTTGAGGTCTGGGACACTAAAATGACACTGGACCTCGGTTCAAGCCCTGCCTCTACCACTGAGTATAATGAAAACCTCAAAGTGAAAATAAATTAGGGCAACTTAATAGAATTAAAAACTAGTATCTAGGATAAAGCTAAGGTAAATATTACTTATGTCTTTCTTAAGAGACCTTGGTTTAGTTTTCTCAAAAGTAAGGATGATACTTGGCTTGTTAATAAAAAAAGATTGTTAATAAAAAAATTAAAAGCTAAACTGTTACCCGAATTTAAGTTTTATAAAAAACTATTAATATTCTTATCACATTATCCCATTCTCCAAAGAAGCTAAGGCCCAAGTCCAAAGGTCTTCAGACAGAGACTCGATGAAGACCAGGACCCGGTTTTCCAATGAGCGAGTGCTGAGCATGAGAGCTGGCAAAGGAGATTCTCCAGAACTCATCTATCCCACCTTCCTAAGAACAGTAAGATGTCATCACGGAGAGACTTTAAAAAACAAATAGTAATCAGTATACCTAACCATATCTATACTTCAATTCCACTGATGATATTTTCATCTAGTAACATTCTCAACACATTTCTTGTCCCAGTTGTCAACCAGTTCTTCCCAAGAGCACATGACTGTCTTGTCTTAGACACTTCTTATATATGATGCAGCAACAGTCTATAGTATAGATGAATGAGCAGTGGGATAGAAATCCAGGATTAGAATATTAGCTCCATCATTTATTTTATTGACTCCAGGCAAATTACTTACCCTCCATGAGCCTCAGTTTATAATATGAATGAAAATGAGTCACAGGGTTTTTGAGAAGATTAAATGATACAACATACAATAGTGATTTGCAACTTACAATCTGATGTAATAAAAATGGGATGTTATTATTGTTATGGTAAGTTTTCCTTCCAGATCTCCTCTCAGCTGACAACTTAGTCCCTTAGGTTGCCTCTCATCTCGTACTTCCCTCAACCATTGACAGCCCTGTGTATCTAGCCAAAAGCTTATCCAACCCTTCTCTCCCTCAGAAGGAGTAGACTGAGATGCTCTTCTTCCACCATGAGGGTTGGTCTGTTAGATGAATTAAATCTAAACCACTCTGGTAATACCAGCAATTCAAAACTGTCAAAATTGTATAATCCCAGGTCCTCCACCAAACTGACTTGCAGGGGACGCCTGCAGCAGATCTCAGTTGCTATCTTACATGAACACGAATTTACTTCTCTCAAATCAGAAGCAACTTTTTGGTAATATAATATCTCATGATTACTTTAACATATATCTTCCCCTCTTATGATAAAGATATCCTTCAAAAATATTTTCCTTTGCATTCATTATATGCATCATAATTGTATATTTACATATGGATTTGACAGTGACTTCACCATAAAATTCTCTTGGAAAGACTAGTTCCCTGTGGGTTATTTCTCAAAGAACTAAAGAGAAAATTATCACTATATTTAAAGAGCAAAAGAGATAACCTATTGGGCAAATAAAAAGAGAATATTACATGTCTAACTTTGGGGTAGCGTGACTAATTATTTAAAAATCAGACCTTGATTATTCCCATTCTTCAGAGTAACATTTTTGGCTGACTTAAATATGATCAACTGTTTTCCTTAAATTGTCCCTTTGGCTTACAATACATGTAACAACTGAAATGGTGAAATTACAATGACATAAGGTCAAGATATAGAAAATCTCCATTCTTTCTTCATGAGACTTAAAAATAAACACACAGCTCTTCTCACATTGTCTTCTGAATGAGACTTCCCTTTTCACTGTGTAGGCAAGAGACTAAACATTAAGCTGCTCTTAATTTAAAATCACAGGGCCTCGAAATGAAAGATTACTGGGCTCCATTAAAATGCTACTAAAATAAAAATGGGAAGCAGCTTTCTAAGGGTAACTTAAAATTTTAACCCTAAGTAGTATTAGACCAGTAGTCTAACCTCCTCTTCTTTTTGACATAAATTCCTTCATGTTAGTGACAAGGTTTTATCTTACTCTTAACAGCAGACTTCAAAGAGGCTCAAACACCTGGCCAGTATTACCAGAAAGAACAGCTTAGCATAAGCTCTATTAATGTGGACTAAAAATGTTACATCTGGTGGGCAACACCAACAATGAGCAACACTAAACTCATGCAACACATCATCTTGGTTGCCAATTGTACGTATGCTTTGAAGCTAATTCACTTTAATAAAATCTTAGAACAGTATAGATCTACTCTGAATGAGAAGTTCTTTGGAGCCATCTTGAGAATTTATGATTCAGATGATCAATAAGTAACACTTGCCTTTAAGAATGCTTAGGCACAATTCATTTCCTATATTTAAAAGTGTGGAATTTGATTTCTCTCTTAATACCTAAGAGATGGAACAGATTTATTGCCAAAACATGGCATGAAATGAAACTCCAAGTTATGTTCTGAGGCAAGGACATTTAAAATGGCCACAGATATATTACATATAAGAAGAGTAGTCCAAAAGAAGAAAAATGTGAACTCTGCATTTATAAATAAACATTTGGTTTTCCAGCTTACCTGTGGTAAGGATTCTAATAAACCTATAGATCCAACACCAGAATGTGGAACATGATTCTGAACTGTCATGGGCTGAAAACTGGGTGATTGAGAATAATGTCTGACTCTTGACTTGAAAGCTTCAAGTTCATTTTTGAATGCTTCAAAATAACCTTCTTCCTCTGCCTAGAAAACACCAAACACAAAGAATGTGTTTTTGAAGATTTCCAAACTACACAGTAAATTCTAACAAGCATATATCAGGTCTGAAATAGAGTAAGTTAAGATGAGAGGAACAGTTTAAATGTAGAAACCACCAAGGAATATTAGTGATTAGTTTGTTTCACTTCCATCTGCTTCAGCAAAATAAAACAAATAAACATTCTTTAAAGACACAAATATGTAACAAAAGAAAGTAAGCCCTTTGTTTTCCTTATATTTATCTGAGCTCTTGATAGGATACAAAATAGTCCTCATTTACCCTCTCACATTCTCCTCTTTCCATTGCCGGTTTCGAGAAACCACCACGGGATATTCTTAAAACCTTTCGGTTCTCTACCAGTTAACGAGGGGCACTATTACCTGTTTCCGGTGATTCTGATTCTGTAGTCCCTATCTGTAAAAGCCATGAAAACAAAATAAAACTCAACACTCAATATTTCTTATGACAATATCTCAGTGTTTAAGAAAGCACCTTCTTTTCAATATTACAGAAAGAAAAAATATGATGAGTTATGTTGAGGTATGGAAAATCTCTCTGATGATGGATAATATAAACAAAATTTCCAATACAAAACACCCTATTGGCAGTGGCCTCCATTATTTCCTTTGCAGATAAAGAATGACAACGCAGATCCTACACTAATAAAACATAGGCTTTAAGTTCAAATGGTGGAAAGAAAAGATTTTGTCCAAGTCCGTTTCTTATTATTTCTAGGTCGATTTGTCTGAAATGCTGTTTTTTCTTTAATGGAGTTTAGGTTGTATAACCAGGATTAGGAATTAGCATAAATATCATTAAGGAATTAGCATAAATAATACAGCTAACATTCTATGGTACCATTCTATCTTTCTACAAATTTAGAATCATTTCCTTGATTATATTATAGCACTTCACTCTGGTCAATATATGGTTACTTATGTGGACATATGAAATATCATAAAGTAACTTCTAAAATGAACCATGAATGAAATCAAGCGGCACAACTGTGGTCTCAGGCATGTGTAAGGCCTAGAGATTTAGATCTCAAGAGACTTGACTGATTTTTGTTTTTACTAAATAACCTAAGGGGCACTTGCTTAATTCGTCTATGTTAACTTCCTCACTTGTAAAATAGGATAATCCTCATAAAACGTTATGAGATTTAATGAATGAATTCATGAAAAGTTCTTATAATAGTACCTAGCACAAAGTAAGCATCCATGAAAGCTATTTTTTAATTTAAAAAAGTTATTATTCTGCACCCTGGCTGGGTGCTTGGTTGGTTACAGTACTGTCCCAATATGTCAAAGTTGTGGATTTGATCTCTGGTCAGGGCACATACAAGAAACAATCAATAAATTTAAAAAAATTGTTTAATTGTTATGAACAAAATGTTAAGATCTAAAGACTTCAGTGCAATTTTGCCAAAGTAAATTTCAAAGAATATACATAGTGTGGCTATGTTCATTATCCTATTAAGAACTAGTTCAAACAGAGTCATTAATGTAAGATGAAAAAGAACGTATGTTTTTTGCATGCCTGTGTATTAAGTGAAATTTTCAAATAGTTATCAGAAACCTAGCTAAAATACCAACTCAATCATTTACTCATTAAAACTGTATTATTTTGGAATATTTTCCTCTTTAGGCTACACTGTAAAAAAAGGGTTTGGAGCATTTAAGGTAGGACTACTACCTTAAATTTTTTATTTTAAAATATAACACTGTCTTCTATTTATAAAAGGAAGTATGTTCATTGAAAAAGAAAATAGAAATCATTTATAATTCTGCCACCCAAGTAAAATCAAAGTTAAACTTACGGCATATTTCCTTCTAATTATGTATACTAAATTATTATATATATATATGTAAGAGCATGTAAAGATTTATGTATAGTTGACTGGACATCCACACATACTAGGAAACAGCTCATTAGATATCAGTTGTGGAGAGGCACTCCCTCTCTCTCTGAGCTGTGACTTTTGTCTTTGTTATTCTTTTGCCTCTTTAGTTTTATTGCTTATATATGTGTCCCTAAGAATATATTGTTTAGTTCTGCTCATTTTTGGACTTTAAAAAATGTAATATATTTTAAAATGGTACTAGAGCCCTGGCAGGTGTGGTTCTGTGGATTGAGTGCTTGCCTGTGAACCCAAGGGTTGCCGATTTGATTCCCTGTCAGGGAAACATGTTTGGGTTGTAGGCCAGGTTCCCAGCTGGAGGTGCATGAGACGCAGCCAATTGATGACTCTCTGTACATAGATGTTTCTCTCCCTCCCTTCCCTTCTCTAAAAAAATTAATATTTTTCAAAAAGTGGTGCTGGATATATCATTCCGTAGCTTGTTTTTTTTTAAAACTCTCTTATCTTTTATTCATGTTGATGCTGCTTCATTCTAAGAGACATTTGGGTGGTTCCTAGGCTTTTTGCTGTCATAAACAATTCTGCTATGAACATTATGTACGGTATCTAGTGCACATATATAAGTTTCTCTAAGGCAGTAATTCTCAAACTTTATGGTTTTAGGATTTCTTCCTACTCTTGAAAATTACTCAGGAACCTAAAGAGCTCCTGTTTATGTGGGCTAATTCTATTAATATTTATTGTGTTAGAAATTAAAACTGAAGGGTTTAAAAATATTAACAAGCTGTGGCTGGTATGGCTTAGTGGATTGAGTGCTGGCCTGTGAACCAGAAGGTGGATGGTTTGACTCCTGGTCTGGGCATACGCCTGGGTTGCAGGCCAGGTCCCCAGCTGAAGGGGTGGACGAGAACTGATCAATGTATTTCTCAAACACTGATGTTTCTCTTCCTCCCTCCCTTCCCTTCTCTCTGAAAAGTAAATAAATAAAAATTTTTTAAAAATTAACTAAAACATAACAATAACAAATATATTGCATATTAACATTTATAACATTTTTATAAAAAACTATCTCTAAGCAAATTTAGTGAGAAGTCTAGCTTATAACAGAAGATAGCTAGATTCACATATCTGCTTCTGTATCAGTGTCTACTACACTCATGACAGTGAAAATGGCAAATAACATCTGAACATTAATATTACAAAAAAGTTCTGATTCAAAGCCTCTTAAAAGGGTCTTGCAGACTCTTGAGTGTCCCTGAACACATGCTGAAAAATCTATGTTCTAGGATATATACCTAGGGGAATTTCTTAGTATTTGTTCAACTTCACAAGGAAATGTGCTAAAGTGGTTGTACCAATTTATACTCCCACAGGCAGTGAATGTGGATTCCTACTGCTCTACTTCCGGTACAACCTGCGAATTTACTAATCCAGTGAGTGTAAAACGGTACTTAATCTTTCTAGACATTTCTATTTTTCCTTAACCTGGCTAACATCATCCTGTATACATAAATACATATCACTTCTTTTAACTTTATAGCGAAATATTATCTCAAATTAGAAATTCTTCAAAATATAATTTTAATGGCTGCATAATATTCTTACATTCCACAGTTTGTTTGTTTTTTAGTCATTTATCCTTATCAAATTTTTTATGTTTCCTATTTATATTACAAAAGTTTGACATCTCATTAAGCTTTAAGTTTAAACACAGGCTTATCTATTTCATTCAACGATAGATTCTCAGCATCTTAAACAGCTGTGCTTTTTACATAACAGTCAGTTTATATTTATTGAATAAACGATGGAATACTAATTTTCCTGAATACAGACATTTATTTGAACAGGTCTCAATTTCACACACATGGTATATAGTCTCTTATATAGATCCCTTATGTCTAAATTAGCATGAAATCAGCAATACAACTTTTCTTTCCACTACGAAATTTACAGAATTTAACCTGTGGCATCCTGGTTGAATGGCTTCCTTTGACGTGTATGGACCAAAGAGGTTAAGGCCTAACCTTCCTGTTTAACAACACCAAATAGCTACTTACTTTGGCTTTCTGGAAAAATAAGCGAAAACACCCTCTTGGATCCACATTACAGTTTTTGGCCATTTCCATTATAAACTGCATGACAACAGCTTGATGTGCTATTTGTTCCATTAGAGCCCCTTTCTGAAAATAAATAGATTAAAATTATAACAAATACCTCTGGAGACATTTTAAAAAGCTTACAGTATTTGGGAACAAGAGAGATGGGGGCGGTACAGGGAAGGCACATTAGAAAAAGTTTCCATGTGATAACTAAAATAACTAAAAATATTCCCACAGAAAACTCAAGTATATCTGAAAACAAAATTGTAATCTCAGTTAAAGACCACCTGCTTTCACTTAATGTAAAAAAAAAAAAAAAAAAGTATATCAGAAAACTGAGGTGCCCAGAAATTCAAGGTCCACACAATACCTGTTCAGCTTCTAGATGAAAACACCATAAAATAAGATATTTGGCAGTTTCTTCACATACAAGGTACGGATGGTCAGACAAAAATCGCTGACTATCATCCCACCGGCTCAACATACCTGTAAAAAAGAATTAAAGCATGAATATCAAGTATTTTCTTCTTGTAAGTGAAGAAATTGTATTTTAAAATTATTCTCTTTTAAGACAATTCATATTACCACAGCAATATGTTACGGTAAAAAAGCAAATGAAGAAGAATAAAATTCTTTTTAGGCAAAATGCACTATATTTAAATAGCTTCCAAAATTCACAGAAGGTTTTATTTCAGATAACTAGACTTAAGTAGAGTGACTTGTTTAAAGCAAAACTCCTGCACCTGGAGAATGCCTGAAGTCCACGGCAAATTGAGATAGCTCGTTATCTTAGTGAATATAAATCATTTAAAAATATATATTTTATTTATTTATTTTTAGAGAGAGAGGAAGGGAGGGAGAAAGAAAGGAAGAGAAACATTCATGTTTGTGAGAGATACATTAATCAGTTACCTCTTGCACACCCACAATGAGGGTGGGTTATGGCCCGCAACCCAGGTATGCGCCCTGACAGCAACCTTTCAGTTCATAGGCTGTTGCTAAATCCACTGAGCCACATGAGCCAGGGAAATACAGGTTTTAAGAGACTAAAAATTATTTAGTCATAGAACACAATATTTTCTATTACAAAGATGCAAAAGACAACAAAAAATCCTGAGAAACTACACTTAACAAAGATTTGGAAAGTTACATTCTAACTTATTAAAATATGTCTAAGATGATATGACAAAATGTTGATAGCGTGGGAAACCAATCCAGTCAGTGTTATAAAAACAACATATTTTAACCATTTTAGTCACATTAACATTTAATCATGATGACTACTTATATACATTGAAAACAAAATCTTTTAAAAATTAGTTAAGCCTTGACTAGTGTGGCTCAGTGGGTTGGGCATCACCCCACAAACCAAAAGGTTGCTGGTTTAATTCCCAGTCAGGGCACATTACTGGGTTGTGGGCCACGTGCCCAGTTGGGGGCGTGTAAGAGGCAACTGATCAATGAATGTTTCTCTCCTACATCAATATTTGTATCCTTCTCTTCCCCTCTCTCTAAAGATAAAATCTTTAAAAAATAAATAAATAAAAATTAGTCAAACATATGAACAAATGGCTGTCACTTTGCTTCAAAAATCAAACTAATCTAAATGTTAAGGTGTATCTTCATTCTTATCCAAATTAGTAAGAACTTAGTAAAAAAGTCAATACCACTCAAGTGATCATGGAACCAGCAAGTGTTGAGCTTTTGTTTAACTTTGTCCAGTCGGCTTTACACTTGTTTTAAGGATTTTAGACTCATCCAAAGAAGTCTGGATATTACTGAATTATCATGAAAATTTTATAAAGCCATCTTAATAGTCTGGCAATAGATCTTTCTTCTAGATACAAAACAAACTTCTATACATTAAGGTTCCACATTAGAACACAAGAAAGAACAAAACTGAGGATGTATGTCTTACTGAGAAATACATCTTTAAGACCACACGGGAATCAATTAAAAATAAGTGACTAACTTTCCCTCATTTAAAAGAAAAAAATGGGAAAAAGCATTTTAGCATTTCCTTGTGAAGAGATTTACAAGCTTTATAAAGTCATTTCCCCAACACTTTGGAAACAGTGATTATGTCATTTTCAATTCTGAGAAGCATAATGATTATGGAAGTTATCTGAAACTACTTCTCAGGTTATAATTAAAGAGCTTAATAACTTCTGAGGGTCAGAAGGATTACAGAAAGCATAATCCTTATTTCTTATACCTGAAGATATAGAGTAGGTCTTATAAAGCCATTTTGCCTTAGTTTTGTGACACTTTTGAAGAGGCAGTGTGTTCAGCTTGATCTACTATCCAAAGAGAGAGAATTGCTTCTCCTGCTTACTTCTCCACAACAGCATCGGGACTCAGTGAGGCACTAAAATCTTACCCATTTTGGTTTCTTTGGTAGGAAATATAATATGAAAAGGTTAGTGATACTCGTAGGGGCCATGAGGAAGAGTCTCATTTAACACAAGGTTGACCTTTATGTAAGGAATACTTACTATGATTTGATTTTAAAAATGCCTATTAAGTTAGCCCTGGCTGGGTTGCTCAGTTGGTTGGAGCCTCATCCCATGCACCAAAAGGATGAGGGTTCAATCTCCAGTCAGGGCACATACCTAGGTTGTAGGTTTGATCCCTGGTCAGTACAAGGGACAACTGAACAATGTTTCTTTCCCTCTCTCATTGATGTTTCTCTCTCTCCCCGCCTTCCTCTCTCTCTCAAATCAACAAAAATATCCTTGGGTGAGGATTTAAAAAAAGTATACCAAATTATTATCAAATTGAGAAGTCAGGTTACAAGTATTCCATACAGACCTTTGTAAGAAGAGTGTGGAATTTTATGAATATATCAATGGAATCAATAACTTAGTGGAACTGAACATACCTGAAAGTGCTAATGTTATTTTGGAATTTGTAAACAAATTTACAAACAAATGGAGACTAACACAATCTAGCATGATGACTGAGAAAACAGAATCTAAGGTTAATCTGCCTAGGTTCAAATACTAGTCATTTCCTACACCTTGGACAAGTTCCTTTATACTTCTATACCTCCATTCTATACCTCCTTTATACATCTATTTTCTTGTATGTAAAATAGGATTAAAAGTAGTATCTAACTCACAGGATTTTTGTGAGTATTAAGTGAGTCAATACACATACAGCACTTAAAACTGCATCTGAGAGTAAACACTTTATAAATGTTAGGTATTATTCACACAACATAAATAATTCATTCACTCATTCAAATATTAAGGTAATCCTTTGTTTAAGGATAATATGGTCATTTAAAGTAGCCAATAAATTTCTCCAAATGCTGAAAAACCTTACTTTGATAAATTAAAAAAAAAATTCACCTATAAGTTTTCCTGGTGAACACCTAAATCCCAATGCATCCATCAGCTATCAATATTCCATCTGATTCCTAACAGGGTCCCCAAATACACAATTTTGATGATTTCCCTTTCCTTTTTTTGTATTATAATTAAAATAAAAAGGATATATTTTAGTCCTTTAAATTATACTCATCTTAATTCCTCTGTGATAAAAATCTCCCAAGTAGGTTGTGAATTTTTTAAAAAAAATATTTTATTGATTATGCCATTACAGTTGCCCCATTTCCCCCCTTCATTCCCCTCCACCCTACACACCCTTCCCCACCCACATTCCCCCATTAGTTCATGTCCACGTGTCTTAAATTCTTTAGCTTCTACATGTCCCACACTACTCTTGCCCCTCCCCTATTTTCTACCTACCATCTATGCTACTTATTCTCTGTACCTTCCCCCCCCTCCTCCCACTCCCCTGTTGCTAACCCTCCATGTGATCTCCATTTCTGTGGTTCTGTTCCTGTTCTAGTTGTTTGCTTAGTTTGTTTTTAAGTGTGGTTGTTAATAATTGTGTTTGTCATTTTACTACACATATTTTTTATCTTCTTTTTCTTAGGTAGGTCCCTTTATCATTTCATAAAATAAGGGCTTGGTGATGATGAACTCCTTCAACTTGACCTTACCTGAGAAGCAATTTATCTGCCCTTTCATTCTAAATGAAAGCTTTGTTGAGTAGAGCAATTCTGGATGTAGGTCCTTGCCTTTCATGACTGGGAATACTTCTTTTCAGCCCCTTCTTGCTTGCAAGGTCTCTTTTGAGAAATCAGCTGACAAGTCTGATGGGAACTCCTTTGTAGTTGACTATCTCCTTATCTCTTGCTGCTTCTAGAATTCTCTCCTTCATTTTAATCTTGGGTAATATAATTATGATGTGCCTTGGGTGTGTTCCTCTTTGGGACTCTCTGAGCTTCCTGGACTTGCTGGAAGTCTGTTTCCTTTGCCAGATTGGGGAAGTTCTCGTTTGTTCAAATAAGTTTTCCACTTGTTGCTGTTCCTCTTCTCCTTCTGGTACCCCTATAATTCAGATGTTGGAACATTTAAATATGTCCTGGTGGTTCCTAAGCCTCTCCTCATTTTTTTGAATTCTTGTTTCTTCATTCTTTTCTGTTTGGATGTTTCTTTCTTCTTTCTGGTCCACTCCATTGATTTGAGTCCCAGTTTTGTTTCCATCACTATTAGCTCCCTGTACATTTTCCTTCATTTCACTTAGCATAGCCTTCATTTTTTCATCTAATTTGCGATCAAATTCAACCAATTCTGTAAGCATCCTGATCACCAATGCTTTGAACTGTGCATTTGATAGGTTGGCTATCTCTTGGTCACTTAAAAGTATTTGCTCTAGAGCTTTGATTTGTTCTTCTGTTTGGGCCATTTGTTTTGTCTTGTTGCACCTGTTATGTATGAGGGGGAGGAGCCTTAGGTGTTCATCAGGGCAGGGCAACCCACTGGCTGTGTTATGACGCTGTATGTGGGGGCAGGGTCCAAAACGGAAAAACGGAGCTTGCTCACTGGGATCTCAGTCCCTTCCACCGCTTCCCCCAAGCAAACGGGGCCTTTCTGGTGCCAATTCCCATGTGGGTGAAGCTTGTGTACATTCTAGGACCCTGTGGGTCTCTCCAATGAACTCTCCTGTGAGGCTTGGAGTCTCTCCCTGTGCTTCAACCCCCACAGGTGTTTACAGTTGGTGCTTTGAGGCTTTATTTCCTCATGCTGGCACCCTGGGTTGCTCGGTCTGTCTAGCTCCCCAGTTTCGCTTGGTTTATATAGGTGTGAATGTGGGACCACTGGCTGGTCAGCCAGCTGCCTTATGTGCAGTGCCTTGCTTCGTAATTGCCACCTGGCTGGGTCTGCCAGCTGCTGCCTCAGTGCCCAGGGTCTGCCCCATGCTATCTTGCATGCCGGGTGCCTTACATGCCTGGTATCACCACTGCTTGTGTCGCAACCCCTCTCTGTCTGGCAGTCTAACTCCGCCCCGCCTACCCGTCTGGATGAATGTGTCTACTTCAATTCCTTGGCTGTCTGACTTCCATACAGTTCAATCCTATGTCAGTTCTGGTTGTTATTTTGTTTCTAAATTGTTGTTTTCCTTATTTTGGTTGTTCAAGAAGGCACAGTGTGTCTATCTACTCCTCCATCTTGGCTGGAAGTCCAGGTCATGAATTTCTTAATGAGAGATATGTGACCTTTTTTTTTGATATGTGACCTTTTTAATAGACTTTTTGAGCCCTAAATTTCTTTTATTCCCAATCACCTACCACCAGATAATTATTTCTACCTATATGCCTCCACGTAAACTCATCTTATTTGAAACCAAACCCATTCTTCTGTACATCTACAGAGCTTCCTAGGCTCTGTGACCCAGTCAAGCATTCTGGAAATTGGAAATTTCACTGACATTTCCATTCCTTCCACATCAAAGTGATCAGTAAATCTAGCAGTTATACCATTATAATCTGTTAATATGATGAATCATATTAATCAGTTTCCTAATGTTAAGTCATCCTTGAATTCTTAGTATAAACTCTTCTAAATATTTCTTTTTCAGATTAAAATTATATTTATTGTGAATTGGAAAAATCCAGAAAATAAAAATCATCTATAATTCTACAGGAAATAACTAATGTTAACATTTTTATGTATTCCCTCCTTGGATTTATTCTTTTTTTTTAAAGATTTTATTTATTTAATTTTATAGAGAAGGGAAGGGAGAGAGAAGGAGGAGAAATGATGTCTGCAAGAGATACATTGATCGCTCACCTCCCACATACCCCTAAACGTGGACCTGGCCCGAAATCCAGACATATGCCCTGCCTGGGAATTGAACCAGTGACCATATAGGTTCGCAAGCCGGCACTTAATCCACTGAACCACACCAGCCAGAGCTGGGCTTATTTTTAAATGACTTAAAAATTTTTTAAACCATATCCTCCATATTAATTTTCTCCTCATTTCACTTTACATTCTATTCAAAAGTACTTTATATTAAATGTTTTTCAAAAATAAGATATTGATATGTTTGAAAAGCAATGTATAAGGGATTATATTGGGTGCTCTACACGTTCAGAGAAACTTCTCTAGTAACGAACTAGAGAAATGATCCCTGAAAGTATAGTCTTTATAAGTGATTATATTGAAGAGACTATGAATATACACCTTCATTATAACTGGAAAAGATACCATCATAGTATTCATGTGTATGTTTACAGGTTTTGATAAAATTCCCAGTGACATCCTATACATTCAAAAATTGCTGAATCACAGCTAAGTTAGACTGGAGGTGAACAGATGAAGTGTCATGAAAAACTGCGTTAGATCATCAAAAAGCAGCTCTGATGATCATAAAGATAGTAATGTCAAAGATAAATGTGATTTTGAAAACTTTTGTGACATTTAAAATAAAAACTTTGTTTCTAAATTGATATTTTATATTTCTAAAACATGAATTAAATAAATTAATAAGTAAAATACAAATGTAGGGAGAAAAGTCAAGATTTCAATGCTTCACAATAATTCATGATATGGTTGTACCATTTATCATTAGATGGCAAATTCTATCAAGCTATAACAGTTAAAAGCAACATAAAAAAGAGTCAACAAATACTACTAGGAATATTAGGACAAAGAATTTTTTAAAGATTTTATTAAGAGAGAGGGGAAGAAAAGAAGAAAGAGTGAGAGAAACATCAATGTGTGGTTGCCTCTTGTGTACCCCATACTGGGAACCCAGCCTGTGCCCTGACTGGGAATTGAACTTGCAACCCTCTGATTTGCAGTCCATGCTCAATTCACTGAGCCACAACAGCCAAGGCCAAGTTAGGAAAAATTTTAAAGATTGCAAGCACACAAAGATTGTAAGCACACATGAGACCAAAGACTGGTGTGGAAGGCACTATAGCTCTTTATAGCCTCACACGTACCAGGCCCATGTCTTCCAAGAGTCTGGAAAGCAGTGCAAGTTTGGAAAACCTCCATCTGGAAGCTTTAATCACAGCTGCTAATCCAGATGTATTTATTTCAAAGGACTATATCAGACTTCCAGCCAAGATGGAGGTATAGGTAGACACACTGTGCCTCCTTGCACAACCAAAAAAAGGACAACAAATTTAAAAATAAAAAACAACCAGAACTGACAGAAAAATGAACTGTAAGGAAGTTTGACACACAAGAAATTAAAGAAAAAACATTCATCCAGACCAGTAGGAGGGGCAGAGATGGGCAGCTGGGTGGGGGGCACTTGTGGCAAGGTGGCAACTGGCAGACAGGGTGGTCCCACATTCGTGTATGGATAAACTGGCAGGAACAACTGAGAGGCAAGACAGACCGCGCAACCCAGGATTCCAGCACAGGGAAATAAAGCCTCAAACCTTTTCATTGAAAACATCTGTGGGGGATAAAGTGGCAGCGGGAGAAACTCCCAGTATCGCAGGAGAGTTTGTTGGAGAGACCCACAGGGTCCTAAAATGTACACAAGCCCACCCACCCGGGAATCAGCACCAGAAGGGCCCAATCTGCTTGTGGGTAGCTGGGGAAGTGACTGAAAACTGATAGAGAGTGGAGCAAGCAGCATTGTTCCCTCTTGGGCTGCCCCTGCACCAGCATCACAACACAGCCATGTGGGTTGTGCCACTGAAGGCTCCCTACCTAACTTCGTAACAGGCACACAGAGATCATATATATATATATATATATATATATATATATATATATATATATATATATATATGGCCCAAATGAAAGAACAGATCAAAGCTCCAGAAAAAATACAACTAAGCCATGAAGAAACAGCCAAACCTATCAGATGCAGAGTTCAAAACACTGGTAATCAGATGCTCATAGAAATGGTTGAGTATGGTCACAAAATAGAGGAAAAAGTGAAGGCTAGGCAAAGTGAAATAAAGGAAAATGTACAGGGAACCAACTGTGACAGAAAGGACACTGGGACTCAAATCAACAGTTTGGAGCAGTAGGAAGAAAGAACATTCAATCAGAACAGAATGAAGAAACAAGAATTCCAAAAAAAAAAAGAGAGAGAGAGAAGCATAGGAACCTCCAGGACACCTTTAAAAACTCCAACATCCAAATCACAGGGGTGCCAGAAGGAGAAGTGAAGAGTAAGAATTTGAAAACATAATGAAGAAGAAATTCTCCAATCTGGCAAAGGAAATAGACTTTCGGGATGTCCAGGAAGCTCAGAGTCTCAAAGAAGTTGGACCCAAGGAAGCACACACCAAGGCACATCATAATTATGTTATCCAAGATTAAAGGTAAGGAGAGAATCTTAAAAACGGCAAGAGAAAAGAAGACAGTTACCCACAAAGGAGTTCCCATAAGACTATCAGCTAATTTCTCAAAAGAAACCTTACAGGCAAGAAGGGGCTGGAAAGAAGTATACAAAGTCATAAAAGGCAAGGACCTATATCCACAATTACTCTATCCAACAAAGCTATCATTCAGAATGGAAGGGCAGATAAACTGCTTCTCAGGTAAGGTCAAGTTGAAGGAGTTCGTCATCACCAAGCCCTTATTTTATGAAATGTTAAAGGGACTTATCTAAGAAAAAGAAGATAAAAAACATGTATAGTAAAATGGAAGCCTTCACTTATATTAATCCCTATGTCATCACTTTTTCCCTACAGAGAAAACTATTTTTCAGTTCTTCTATAAACATTTCTATTACTACATTTAGATGAATAACAGTACAAAAATGTGCATGAATTATACAGCATCATACCCAAACGCAGGGGAAAAAACTGAATGCTGTTCCTATAACCATACAATAACTAGATACCAAGGAAGCAAAAAAGAAAAAAAGACAAAGCAAACAGTTGGGAAATGAACTCTTTTTTCCATTTTAGTTGGGAAATGAAAAGAGACTGTAGTGTGACTAAAGACTGTATGTGAGAGGGTGGTATTATGTAATAAGAGATTACATTTGCTGCTCTTCACAATTTGGTTTACTTTGGTCAGTACATTTCTGTTATGACCACACCCCACACAAAGTGTCTAAAACAAGAGTTGTACAATTGTTCCAGAAGTAGTTTGTCACTTACCTTTTTGGTTTCCATTTTATAAGTCCACTTTTTTATACGCATATTTATGATATCAAATGTTATAGAAGGCAGAAATTCAAAAGTAGGCTTACCAAAATGTCTGATTTTTTGCTCATATTTTTGCATAAATGATTCTGATTTATCTTCATCTTCTGCTTCTTTTCCTTTATCTTGATTAATAAAACTCTAAAAGAAATTTAAGCTAAAATCAGATTTTATATTCTAATTGACTCTTCTTTCTTAGACACTGAATGTCTAGCAATCCTTCCTACAGACACTATAAAAAAGGTGGTATAGTATTATACTGGTAGTATATCATTAAAATCCCCTGTTAAACTCTATTAAACTATTAAAATGCACTTGTACTGAAGTTTAATTAGTTTTATCTAAAATGACAGATGTGTGGAAAATTATAGAATTACTTTAGAAATAGTACAGAAAAACAAATGAACGAACCTTTTTGCTAAAAAAATGGCCCTTCTATATTATTCATTTGCATGAAGTATTTGCAACTGTAGACCAATAAATTTCAACCTTTTTTGTTTCATGGCACACATAAACTAATTATTAAAATTCTGTAGCACAACAAAAAAATACATTGTTTTTTGCCATCCTGACCAAAAATAAATAAATAAGGTATAATTTTGATAGAGTTACAAAAATAACAACAATAATGTAACTACCTACCCTTTTCACTCCAAAGTGACTTTTAAAAAAATCAAGTGTCTATAGTATAGCCTGCTGGGTAGCTCAGCTGGTTAGAGAGCACGGTCATGACACACCAAGGTTGCAGGTTTGATCCCCAGTCAGGGTACACACAAGAATCAACCAATAAATACATAAGTGGAACAACAAAATTGATGTTTCTCTCCCTCTCTCCCGCTTCCCTTTTCTCTCTCTAAAAATCAATACATAAAAATAAAGTAAAATAAAAAATGAAGGTCTTTTAAAAAGCAGGTACCTATACTTGTATATAAGGATTTTTGGTACCAAGAATTAATCAGAAGCAACCTTATTATGTGATGTGACCAATAAGATGCAACTCTATGATATGACCTCTATATTTATGGATGAAGACAGGGCATTCACATCAAGTAGCTATTGTTGTGTTGGCTGTTGTCATTTTTTAATTTGATAATCTAAGGGAAAAGAGGTCAGTGCCTCTGACTAAGTAGTCAAGTGTTGCATGTTTTAAAATTTCTTGTAGCACACCAGTTGAAAATCTCTGCTCTAGACTAATCTTTGGCAATCTTGTTGGATATAAACTCAAAAATTCAAAAGTATATAGAGAATAAAGTATATTTACTATAAATTCTTTGACAAGACATAAACCTAAAATAAACCTTTGTTGTAAAGTTTTCTTAGGAGAAGCCAGTTTGATTCTAAAATCAAGTACAAATTTCTATTAAGGAAGTGCTTATTTTTGATTAAACAAGTCATAAAACAGACCAAGATGAAGTTTGTACTTAGCCAGAAAAAAATGGCAAAACAATTTCTAAGAAAATTCTGTGGTCACATTTAAATTGTGAAACCATCACTGCCAAAAATTGAAATTGCAAACTAGTTCTCTGCCAGTTTATAATGAAAAGGTACACATTTATAAATTTCAAAATAAAAGTCTTTAAATAAATAAATAAATAAATATATATTCTGCTATCTAGAGCAGCACTGTCCAGTAAAAATATAATCCAAATCACAAATATAAAGTTTTCTTTTAACCACATTAAAAAGTATAAAGAAATACATAAATTGGTAACATTAATTTAACCCAACATATTATTTTAACATGTAAGCAATAAAACAATTATTAGTGAAATACTTAATTTTTTTTGGTACTAAGTCATTGGAAGCTCATGTGTATTTTGCACTTATAGCACATCTCGATGTGGACTAGTAACATTTCAAGGTCTCAAATGGCTAGTGGCTATCAAGGTGGACAGTGCGATCTAGACTAGTCCGCTGAAGCTCCCAGACAAAAATCAATGTACGATTTTGAGCAAATGACTGGAACATAAAGATAGTCTTAATTAATGTGGAATATAAATGTAGGCCTTCTTGGGACCAAAGTATTAAAAACAGGCAAGTGAAAATACATTCTTTGTGACACTGTGTTAAAAGACATTAATTTTATAACAAAGATACATTGTTTTGACCATTCTCTCTGGAAGAAGAAAATTATTTTTAATAGTTTTAGGGTATAAATGCATATCAGAAATAAAATAACACTTAAGAAGACATAGCCCTCAGAACACTATATACTGAAAGAGCAAAACATTCAGATAAAAGTGATCCTGTTGTGGGAGTGGAAAAATATGTAAATATAAATTGGAACAAGCACAGAAAAAATCTAGAAAGATATGACTCACTGGTAACAGTGGTTATCTCTGGGCACTGGAACTGATAGTGAAGGAAGGCCTTCAGTTTTATTTTACATATTTATGTCTTGTTTTTACAATAAGCATGTTGTACTCTTATAATTTTTTGTTAATTAAAGAATAAAGTACTGATAAGGCCAGTGCTATCATTCACTATGTGTATTATTTATTGCTGTTAGCAGAACTAGAACTGGTCTACAGGAAGGAACTTAGAGTTTTTAAAAGGGTGGGATGAGAGAGAATACCAGAACAGAAACAAGTAGCTACAGACTGAGAAGCCTGCAGAATAGTGATGGTTAAAGATAAAGTGAATGTGTCCTGGCTGGTGTAGCTCAGTGACTTGAGCATGGAACCAAAATGTCACCAGTTCGATTCCTAGTCAGGGCACATGCCTAGGTTGCAGGCCAGGTCCCCAATAGGGGACATATGAGAGGCAACCACATACTGATGTTTCACTCCCTCTCTTTCTCCTTCCCTTCCCTTCTCTCTAAAAATAAATAAAATCTTTTTTTAAAAAATATTTTATTTATTTATTTTTCAAGAGAGGGGAAGGGAAGGAGAAAGAGTGGGGGAAATTAGTGTCGGAGGTGTGACTGGGAGCTGTTTGCGAGGCCGGGCTAGCAGGAAATAAATAAAATCTTAAATAAAAAAAAGATTAAAAGATAAAGCGAATGTGGACTTAGACAAGAATGAGCAGTCTATCCTTGAAGCTTGAAAAGTTTAGTATGAACAGAAAGAAGTACTATTTTATACAATGAAAATGACTGAAATTCATTGCCTATATCTATTTCAGATATAAAAGTCAAAGAATAAGGCCTAAAGAATCCAATAAGAAACAGAACTACTCACTTGGCATAAGTACTATACTAGTCCTTTCACTAATAATGCCTGTAATACCAAGTCTAGAATACTACTATATGAGGTTTACTAAATACATACTGGTAAATAACAGTGAAACACTTTATTTAGTAAATCCAATAACTATACATTAATGTTAAAAAACTTAACAAGCTGATAACACAGCAACATTAGAAAGCACTTGTAAAATCTTAGCTTTACCATGTGACAGGTCCCATGCTACTTGCTTTTAAGATACCACCTTAGTCAGTCTTTATACCCTCCCATAAAGTTGAGGAAACTGAGGCTTAAAGATGTTAAGTGACTTGTCCAAGGTCACAACTAGCATGTGACAATGCTAAGTTTTGAAACAGTCTGATTCCAGAGCCCACACTTATATTCAGTGTGCTATGCTGCAACCATATATTTGTATTAAGAACTACCCACATTAGACACTATTGGGGATACGGGTTTCTGTAACGAGCACTCTTCATAAATTGTCAAAAATGAATTGTTTACAGGATTCTGTTGCTTTCCTACCAAATATGCACACCAGTTTATACAAACACTGTTTTTTTTCTCCTTTCATTATTGTGCAAAAAAAAAGGTCATACCTTATTAAAAACATCCTTGCTAATGGCATCCACGTTCCACAGACACATTCTCTCTCTTTGTACTAGAGCCTCTTCTTTCTGTCGCCATTCCTCTTCACGCTGCTTCAGTTCTGATACTGCTGTTTGTGCTTTGGCATGTTCTTGATCCAAGGACTCAGAGTTATGCAGTGCTAAACTACCAAGTTTCTGCTGAGCTTCAGCTAGATTCCATTTGCACGCCACAGAGCTCTTCACAAACTCTTTCTGCTTTTGGCAAGCCATTTCAATTCCATGGCTATACATCTGGATGAGAAATAGTATTTGTAAGAAATGAAGACGGCATTGGGTATGTTTATGCAGCACAGTTCAATTTCTTTCAGTCAAGGATTACTGTACAATGTTTCTGGTGCAAAGGTATGCCACCTTCTGTGTATGAAGTTACATTATATTTTATAGGCCTTGTTTCATCAACTAGACTCAAAATTCTTTGTTAATCTGTGTCCCCGCCCCCCCAACAACTAACAGTAACATAAAGCCTGAAAACTAACAGTGTCCTGCATATGGCTGATGTTCAACAAACATCTGATTTGTAGTCTTTATAATCAGAAATAGGAGAATTAGAAAACAAAAGCTTAAAATCGAGTTCATCACCTTATCACTCAACATGCTGAAAACCAGACCTTTAGAATTTTGCTCTGCAAGTTATTCATTGCAAAGTTTTTATTTAAAAGTAATAATTAATTTCTTGATTTCTATTTTCTTTCTGTATTATTTCAATCCTTGGCAATCTGGTAAGTTCTCACTGGCATTTTCTATTTATAACTGACTATATCAAATAGATACCCTTTAACCCTAATCAAAACAGGCAGTTATTAAGAAAAGAAAAGCCAACTGGTCCACCCTGGTGATTCTGTTCCATTCAGAAGCAATAGTCATTAGCTTTAATATTTATTGAACACATGATATGTGATGGGTGCCTTATATTCCTCACCTGTACAAAATGAAAGTTGAAGGCATATCCTTTATGATTTCTTAGCCAAAATGTAGATCCATTTCAAACTAAATTTTCAAAATAATTTTACTCCCGCCTACTCCCTTATGTGCATCACTATTCATGCCTTTAATTATATAAACACACCCTTTATCATCTTTGGAATGCTCTCCACAATCCAAATCTGATAATTTCACTCATTCTTAGTGTCTTGGGGTAAAGTGCAGACTATGACATGTCACGCTTTCTCATGTTTGTATTATCTTTGGACCCAGTTTCAGTTACTCTTCTAGGTGTTTGCTTATTCTTTCTATCTGCCCCTTCCATGTGGCACCCCCTCCCCTCACCATACTTGTATCTCCATTCCAGATTCTGGCATCACATTCCTAGATTATCTCTTATCCCTTTTGTCTGCATCCAAGTTATGCATACTTCTAAAGTGGTGTTTTCAGACAATATTGTGCTTATTTGTTCACACAACTCTCGGCTTGGTTAGAGCTAGAATTCAAGAAATCTTAGTGAATAAATGATTCTCCTTGTCACAGAACAGGCTAGTGGTAGTAAAGCATTCTAATGTGAGTAGCATGCCAGGCCCCTACTTCTTACATGAGTCTTCAGGCAAACTTAGATTTCTACTGGGGCAAATGTGAACACTGTGGTTTTCCAGATGTTTTAGTTAATCATTTAGCAGGTTTGGAGCCTAGGCACCAAATGGCTATAACTAAGTGCTTATTTTTATTTTGTGCTATCTTAAAATAGAATCAAATGTAGATTAGCTATGTTTTAAGAAGTGGCCAGAAAGAGAAAAATTAAGCAATAAAATTTATAGTGTAAGAAAAGACTAAGATATACTAAGAAAGAAGATATGTACAAATGGATCTTGCATTTCCAAATATGGGGAAGCAAATTCTCAAGTCATTTCTTTTATTTTTTTATTTCATTAAGATTTTATTTGAGACAAAATGATGACATATGCTGGGGAGCAAGAACTAAAATGCTTTTTTTAAAAGTCATTTTTAAACACTTACATATTATCTCCAAATTCTAAAGATGACTTATGTGTAAATTCTCCTCTACAGACTATAAAGACATTTGGACATTTTACCAAACTATGCAACAGTACTGAGATGATTAAATAAAAAGTCATATTTTATCTGAAAATACTGAGATTTAAAGGGACATTAAATATAATTTTAATAAACATAAATCCAAAAAAGAAACGGTTAATGTTAAGGTATACATATGTAACTTTATCTCTAAATTTACATTAATTGGATCTAAGAATTATACATCCCAAATGACATTAAGTAGTCTAGATTCCCCATACTCAGTACAATTAAACCAAAGCTATTTCAATATGTATTATAAACTATTTACAAATCAAAGTAAACATTTATTCCTTCCAAAATTCCAACTCAATACTTAAGTCCTAAAGCCAGTAAGACAAATAAGTAGGTTATAAGCATATGGACTAATTTAGGATTAGTAATCACTTTACAAATTTTAACACCATTCAAAGGTAGTTTCAGCCAAACTGAGTTTTACATTACATCACAGAAAAGGCATTGCAATAGGTGTGTGTGGGGGGAACATTAAGGGTCAGAAGAGAGTTCTAGTTTTAATTTTGCCACTCACTACCTATATATTCTCAGGGAAAACACTTGTAATGAAGGAGATAAGCCTATTCACTTCTAAAATACTTTTATGCTAGATAACCTTACAATTCCAAGTGTATGAGTAAAAGTTAATATAGAAATATTTTTAAAATTGAGTTTCTCTTAAATTACTCTTGTGATTCAACCACAATGCACTAAAATTCTTCTAGCCTCTCCATATGCCTTCAAAATTGATGATGGCAGTTGCTGTTCATTTTTTCCTCTAACACATTCATTATGTGGTTATATAACACTTTGTAGACAAAGATGACAGCAGTGATCCATAATTAGTAGGTGAATACTGACCTATCAACTCTCACTGTGTCCTCCTAAAAAATGGCCTGCAGTTTCTCAGTGACTGCCTGGCTGAAGTAGAGTCTGTGTTATGAAACAGCATTTTTCTTTGTGTGAAGTCAACCCTGTGAGCTGGGCACTGGATCAATGACCCTACACTTATTGACAATTTAAATTGCTCATTCATTAACAGCTTGCAGGGTGAGTGTAGAGAAAAACTGTTACTAATTCGGTTAAGCTCTTAGGGACCCTATTTTGTATGAAACCTAGAAAGCAGACACAGATAATCCTGAAATATACTTTCAAAACACACTCAGGTTAGGAGAAAAACCAGGAAAGGGTGATAGGTATGGAAGCACTCTTTTAAGATAGGATCTAGAAAAATCCTAAATGGCATATCACATTTAGATAAGTTTCAGAGGAAGGAATGCTGGGGTGAAAACCACGAGTAGCATCAGGAATCTCGGGAAGAAATCTAGGTGAAAAGGCAAATGTGTACATACGTGTTTTTAGTGAAGAATTATGTGAAGCAAAACTAAAAACAACTGTAAGAGATAAAATGGTCACGGGAATGCGAGAGATTTATGCCAGTATCAAAAGAGACATTTAAAGAATTTGCTCAGATGTTAAGTCAGTCAAATTGGATCAGAAACCTTTAAAGGTCAGGAGCTCAATGAATTGTTGAAATACCACCATTTACTGTTCCTAATGACAACTATTCACACGTATTACTCTCCAACACAATAAAATGTTCGGATAAAATCACGCACAAGAAGACAAAGGGTCAATGTTACAGCATGAGCGGCCCCCAATCTGGGTGCTGTCAGAACGGGATGGGGGGAGGGACGTCTTCCAAAGGTGAAGAAGCCAAGGTGAAAGGTGTACATAGAAGTGCAGATTAGAAATGTATGGCCAGCAACTCTTTAAAGCCCTTAGATTCCAAGGCTTAGAAGATGTTACAATAGCGGCGGGATGGCATCAGGCCCTTGGTCCCCGCGGGTGAGGTGGGGGCGCAGAACAGAGCACAGAAGAGGGAGAGACAGCGGACTCTGGGACCCTGACCACCGCACCTCCCCTTCCGCCCCTTCCGCCCGTAGAAACAGGACTCCCCCACCCCCACCTCTCACCTGGGCACCGCCGCCGGGCAGTTGCGGACACCGGGGAGAACTGGGAGACATGTCCAAGTCACTCTCTTCCTCAGCCTCACCCTCTGCCCGAGGGACGCTCCAAGGTCCTGGAGGGGGCCATGGCTGCTCCATGTCCGGCTGCCCCAAGCCCTACAACCCCCACAACCAACGGACTTGGCGTGAGTAAAACCTGCTGCGCGGTGCCAGCCGCCCCAGCCGGCCGGGGCCGTTACCCAGAATCCTTCTGCTGGCCGCGACCTCGGCGCACGCCCCACGTGAGGATGGACTCAGCCGGCGGAAAAATACGGACGCGACTTGGGACATCACTTCCGGATTGGAGGGCCGGGCTGTGGGAGGTGCATCTTGCAGCTTCCGGGTGGTGGCTGGAACTGGAACCCTCTATTTTTGAAACTCGGTTTTCTGAAGATTTCCAGCTTTGCCGATTTAGCCCTAATGGTGCTGCGGGTCTTGTAGTAGTAAATACTTGTTATGTGGTGTTCCCTGTTCTGTAAACAGTGAGTCCTGGGTCCGGAGTGGTTCTCAGACCAAGGGTCGTCCACTTTTTAAAAAATTGCAACTCATGTATTTCTTAAGCGGGGGTAGAGATAGAATTTAGAAGAGCAAAGCCAATTTTCTTCTCATTTCCAGTACAAGGAACGAGTTCTGCGAACTTAGCTAGGAGTAAGGAGAGATGGATCAGTATTGGACCAAGCACTGCTTCAAAAAAATTAAGATGAGTACCATGTGATCTCACCTTTAACTGGAACCTAATCAACAAAACAAACAAGCAAATAAAATATAACCAAAGATATTGAAATTAAGAACAAACTGACGGTAGTCAGAGGGGAGGGGGAAAACATTAAGAGGAGTACCAGCAACAGTGGACCTTTAGGGAAATCTTTCTGTATTTCTGTGTATCTTGTTTAATCCAACGGATTTATTCTCTCTATAGACCCAATATGCCCAAGGTCAAGCACATTAGGGGGAAAAAGTAGGATTAATTCAGGGAGTTTGATCTCAAAAGGTGCACGTTTAGCAATTAGCTATTTCTGCCCTACTCATAATTAGAGACTCATAAAAATGAGAAGTCATTTTATCAATCTATTAGATGAAGCTTTTGAGGTTATTTAACACAAGGTGTTGACAAGATGTGAGGAAATACTATTAAAGGAAATATCGCTTGTGTAACCTTTTGGGGAGGTCCAATTTGACAATATCAGAAATTAAGTGCTTTGATTCAGCCATTTCACTACCAGGAAATTATCCAGCAAAATGATTCTTGCACTAGTTTGCAATTACTTACCTACAAAGGTATTTACTGCAGCAACTTTTTTTGTGGCAAGAAGAAAAGCCAAAATAATCTAAGTGCCCGTCTGTGGAGTAACTTAAATTGTAGTCTGTGAATACAATGAGATATTAGCAGTCCTTTTTTAAAAAATATTTTTAGTGCTGTGCTATTACAGTTGTCCCATATTTTTCTCCCCTTTATTTTCCTTTGCCCTGCACTCTCCCTCCGACCAGCATTCCAGGCCATCCTGCCCCCTTAGTTCCTGTCCATGGGTTGAACATGAGTTCTTTGGCTTCTCCATTTCCCGTACTATTCTTAACCTCCCCCTATCTATTTTGTACATACCCATTATGCTTCTTATTCCCTAAACCTTTTCTGCCATTTTCCTCCCTCCCCATTCCCACTGATAACCCTCCATGTGATCTCCAGTTCTGTGATTGTGTTCCTGTTGAATTGTTTGCTTAGTTTGTTTTTGTTTTGTTTTTAGGTTTGGTTGTTAATAGTTGTGAGTTTGTTGCCATTTACCATTTATATTTTTTATCTTTTTCTTAGATCAGTCCCTTTAACGTTTCATATGAAAGGGCTTGGTGATGATGTACTCCTTCAACCTGACCTTATCTGGGAAGCACTTTATCTGCCCTCTCATACTAAATGATAGCTTTGTTGGATAGAGTCATCTTGGAGGTAGGTCCTTGCTTTCATAACTTTGACTACTTCTTTCCAGCCCCTTCTTGTCTACAAGGTTTCTTCTGAGAAATCAGCTGATAGTCTTATGGGAACTCCTTTGTAGGTGACTGTCTACTTTTGCTGCTTTTAAGATTCTCTATCTTTAATCTTAGATAATGTAATTATGATGTGCCTTGGTGTGTGCTTCCTTGGGTCCAACTTCTTTAGAAATCTCTATGCTTCCTGGACATCCTGGAAGTCTATTTCCTTTGCCAGATTGGGGCAGCTCTCCTTTATTCTGTTTTCAAGTAACTTTTCAATGTCTTGCTCTTCCTCTTCTCCTTCTGGTACCCCTGTGATTCAGACATTGAAATATTTAAAGTTGTCCTGAAAGTCCTTAAGCCTCTCATTTTTTTTTTGAATTCTTATTTCTTCCTTCTGCTCCAAACTGTTGATTTGAGTCCCAGTTTCCTTTCTATTACTGTTGGATCCCTGTACATTTTCCTTTATTTCACTTTGCCTAGACTTCACTTTTTCCTCTATTTTGTGACCATACTCCACCATTTCTGTCAGCATCCGATTACCAGTGTTTTGAACCAATCTGATAGGTTGGCTGTCTCTTCATGGCTTAGTTGTATTTTTTCTGGAGCTTTGATCTGTTCTTTCATTTGGGCCACATTTTTTTTTATATTGGTGCACCTGTTAAATTAAAAGGGGCTGAGCCTTAGGTTTTTGTCAGGGCAGAGCAGTCCATGTTGTTGTTTTGCTCCATTGTGGTGCTGTATGTGGGGGAGGGGTACGAAAGGGAACAGTACCACTTACTTGGCTCTTGCCTGGCTTTGAGTCACTTCCCCCACTTCCCACAAGCAACTTGCACCCTTCTGCTACTGATTCCTGGGTGTGTGGGCCTGTGTACATTTAGGACCCTGTAGGTCTCTCCAATGTACTCTGCTATGAGGTTGGGAATTTCTCCCGTAGCCACAGTTCCCACAAGTTTTATAGCCAGAGGTTTTGAGGCTTTATTTTTTCACACTGGAACCCTGGGTTGTGCAGTCTGTCTCACTCCCCAGTTGTTCCTACTGGTTTGTTTGCATGTGAATGTGGGACTACCCAGTCTGCCAGTTGCCACATCACCCACCCAGTCCTCCAGTCACCACCTTCCCGGGGGTCCTCTCCACTTAGCTGCCCATCTCTGCCCCCCCTGCCAGTTTAAACAAATGTTTCTTCTTTAACTCCTTGGTTGTTGGACTTCTATACAGTTAAATTTTCTGTATGTTTCCATACAGTTCTGGTTGTTTTTGTTTTTAAATTTATTGGTGTTCTTCTTTTGGTTGTGCAGGGAGACAAAGTATATCTACCTACTTCTCCACCTTTGCCAGACAGTCTTGAAAAAAGTAAAATAGATGTAAATATGCTGACATAGAAATATCCCCAAAGTGTGTTGAGTTAAAAAAAAAACCAAGTTGCAAAATTAGTTATATGTGCGTGTATATCTATGTGATAGATATAGATAGATATCTATATCTATGAAGAAGGAGAATGGTCCCATTTGTGTAAAAACTGTGTGTGTGTACACATACATGTGTACAGAAACATCCTGGAGAATAAACAAGAATTGTTAATGATTACCCCTGGTGGTAAGGCAAGGAGGAAAGTTTCTGAGCATCTTTGCTTTCTCTTTACTGCTGTTTGAGTATTTTCCAGTGAGTATCTGTCATCTCTTGACAAATAATTACAAATAAAAGTTGAGAAGCACTGTGTTTAAACCTTTTAGTTTAGGAGTAGAAAGCAAACAAGAAAATATGCCCACAGCTAAAGCACAAATAGGAGGCAAAACAACTTTATTCACTTGTAGCTTTCATTTAAAGTAATATATTTCAAATGAAATAACTTTGAAAATGTTTCGAGTGATTTCCCTGTGTATATCATTCACCAGAAATAATTAGGATTCATTCTCTGAAACTAGATGCATTACCAGCCAAGCATAACTTGGGTTCTGTTTAGCAAGGAAGAAGAGCTTGTGGGTATCCGGTACTCAATCACATTGTCTGCCATAACTGTTTACATTCCTGTGAGATCTAGTGCCAGCTAATTCTTGAGTGTCATCTCTTAACCTCCTCTACCCCTGCCCTGGTCTCTCTTGGTATGCTCAGTGGCCTCCTTTCTGTTCCTCAAACATACCAATTTTTTTTTCTGACTCCTGGTCCTTTACATTTGTTGTTCACTTTGCCTGGTTATCTTTTCTGTTCTTTAAAAGGTGTGTGAGTGGTCATGCTCTCCTTTTTAAATTGTAGATCAAATGGTCATACCCTTAGAGAAGCTGACCTCTCCACTGGCACTAAATTAGGTTCTTATTCTCTCTCCAATCTATAACTTTCTATCTCCCTCCCTGGGTATCTCCTTCTTAGCATTTATCATGCTGTTATTATCTGATGTTCACTTATGTTTTTTTTTTAAAAAAACATTTTATTTACTTATTTATTTTTAGAGAGAGGGGAAGGGGGGGTGAGAGGGAGAAAAACATCGATGTGTGGTTGCCTCTTGCCCTCTCCCAACTGGGGACCCACCCTGCAACCCAGGCATGTGTCCTGACTGGGAATTGAACCGATGACCCCTTGGTTTGTAGAGCCAGCACTCAATCCTCTGAGCCACACCAGCCAGGGCTGTTCACTTATGTTTCTTCTGGCACTAGATTTTAAGGTCCACAACAGCAGAGATTGCAGATTGTTTCTTTCTCACCCTTGTACCTTCATTGTCTAGAACTATCTAGTACATAGTACATATTCAGTAAATATGTGCTGAAGAGATGAATAGGGAACTAATTAGTAGAAACAAGGGAAAAAGATATAGCATTAAATAAAGACAGAATTAGATAAAAGGGGAATGGAAATAGGTATATTTTGGTCAGAGAAAAAGGGATGGATATAACAACATCAGATGTAGCCTCATTTTAGCTATTGCTGACTTTGGGGGCTAATCCTAATGCCCAGGTAGAGTGAACACTTTCCAAGCTTTGGAACTAGATGATACTCTTTTCTCCTTCCTTATATTGGATAAGAAATATAATTCCTTGAAAATTGCTTTGGATCATAATTAGCCTAGTACTCCCATGGACATAGAACTAGCCGGCTGAAAGTCAAAGGAGCAAATTAGTTTTCTTCTGAACAGAAATTACTTTAAAATGGAAGGATATAGATTGTGCAGTCCAGAATGCCCAAGGGCAGTCTTTGTAGAAGGGTTTGTATGGTATTGATCCTACAAATGTGAGTGAGTCAGAGCAGAGGCTAAAGAGGAACATATGTTTGACTCGTGAACTCTGTAGTAAATTTTGTAGAATACATCCCATGTGTGGGCCCAGATCCCAAATGACTTAAAGTTAAAAGTTGTTCAATTGCAATTTAATTCTTTCCTTGGAAGCATTCCTGATACTTGGGGGAAATTCTAGAGGGGCATATATACTTAAAGAAGTACTACTCAAATTGCCAGCTCCTGTTTTGGACATTCACACAGAGACCAATATTCTTGTAATACAGTGCTTCTTTTTCCCTTAAGTGGGCTTCCCTCTGAATTACTTGTAAAGTATCACACACCACAATAATTTTCTTAGCTGCATTTTGGGTGAATAGAGCCATCATATTTTTCTCTTTTTTTAAAAAATAATTTTTGTTTATTGATTTGAGAGAGAGAAACAGATATCAGTGTTTTGTTGTTCCAGTTATTGACACATCCATCAGTTGATTCTTCTATGTGCCCTGACCAGGGATTGAACCCACAACCTTGGCATGTTGAGATGATGCTCCAAACAACTGTACTACTTTGCCAGGGCCATATTTTTCTTTTTATGTGTATGTAAGACTTCTATTGAAAGGAACTTCACAGTGATTCTGCCAAGAATCCTCTTGGTGGGCTATTTTAGGACAGAAGGAGTTCCACATAAGTATAAGTTCCTTACTTAAGTATATGTTAAGGATTTTTAAATTGTTATCATGAATATTTTTAAATATGCAAAAGTATAGAATTATAGTAAAATCCATATATCTGTCACCCAGATCAACAATCATCAAGCTATTACTACATTTACTTTATCCATTTCTTCTATTCATTTCCATATTTGAAAGAAAATCTTAGACATTAGATCATTTCTATCATACACCTAAATATATATCTCTAAACAGTATCAATATTCACCTTATATAAACACAAGGACATTATCATACCCATCAAAATTAATTGCTGCCCTGGCTTTTGTGGCTAAGTTGGTTAAAGCATCATCCCATAGACCAAAAGTTCAGTAGTTCAATTCCCACTCAGGGCAAATGCTTAGGTTGAAGGTTCAGTCTGTACTTGGAGCACTTAGGAAAGGCAATTGATTAATGTTTCTCTCTCACTTTGATGTTTCTCTCCCTCAGTCCCTCCTCCTCTCTAAAATCAATAAGCATGTCCTTGGATGAGGATTAAAAAAATCTACTGAGGCTTGGACCCCATCACAGGCTAGTTGAAATGTAAACTTAAAAAAGGTAATTGCTTGATGTTATCTAATACAACAAACCATAGTCAAATTTCCCTTATGCTCTCAAATATTCTACTGAAGCTGGTTTGTTTGAATCAGGGTTCCAACAAAGCTGGCATACTACATTTGGTTATCAGGTCCCTGCGGTGCCTTTTCATCTGGAGCATTTCCCCTCCCCTGCTGCCTTTGTTTTCCAATGTTATTGACTTGTTGCAGACTAATTGGGTCAGTTGTCCTATGAAATGCCCCACATTCTAGACGTGTTTGTTTCCTTAAGGTGTCACTACCATGTTTCTCTATCCCCCAGACTTCCTTTCAGTGAAGTTAGCTCTAGAGCAGCACTGCTCAGTAGAAGTTCCTGTGTGGATGGAAATTCTACTGGCAGTATCCAATACAGTAGCCACTAGCCACATGTAGCTATTTTTTCAACTTTATTTTAAAACTTTGGTTACAGTTTCATTTTTATATCATGTAGCTATTGAATGAACACGTTAAATGTGACTAAATTTTAAATTTAATTTTATTTTAAATAATTTAAATTTATATGTTTAGATATGCATATACACGTGTGTTTGTGTTTAATCGTGAGATTCCACCTTGTCAGGGAGCGTGACGTGGGTGGGATATGTAAATCTGTGTACCTATGCTAATCCGCACATGCAGTGGTTGACACCCTAGACAAAGGGTATTGTGAGGAAAGAAAAGGACCTAGAAACATTGCTTGGGCAGGTAGGGGAGGACTGACAGAGACAGAAAGAAGGGCCAAAGAGTTGGAGGGAAATATCCTAGGAGCCAAGCAAGGAGAGTCCAGTTATACACAGAAGAGTTCAGTTAAGTCCAGGAAGAGCATAGCATGGGACATGTTATCTCTAGGAGTCTATGTTATAGGGCCAGTAATATGGCAGGGCGCACTTGCAATCAAGCCTGGCAGCTTCCCTTCAGCTGTGTGGCCTTGGGCAGAAGGTTTTCTGGCCTCACCCTACAGATTTTGTCTCTGTAAAATAGGGATAATAACTCCTTCCTTAAAGAGTTATTGTGGGGATAAATGAATTAGCATATGCAGTGTGCCAGGCACCCACTTGTGTACCTCTTCATTTGCAGACAGAGAACCAAGGACTGGATAGGGACACAATATTTCCTCCATCATATCAGTTTCTCTCTTACAGGGAAAAGATCTCCAACTATCAAATGAATACTTAATTTTTGTGTCAGGACATCTTTCTTCACTTTTCATTTTGCAGTTGTATAAATCTCCAATACTCTCCAAATCTCTCACCTTGATGTTTTATTACAATATTAGTAATAAATGACTCAGCACAACTATTTTTAAGAGTCAGCATTGGGCCTACCAGATTTTTCTGATTGGATAGAAGCAGCAACTCCCATCTCCCCTCCTTCACTTTTATCTGTTAAATACAGTGAATGGGGAAAAAGAAAAAGCAATTTTTTCCCTACTCATTAAGAACTCTTGCCCTGCCTGCCACCTCTGGCAGTTTTTGCAGAGTAACCCTGGTTTTGGCAACTACAATAACTACCCACGGGGAGATAATGTAATTCATTGCTTGTCTTAGGTTAACTAAACTCCAAAAAGAGGGGCTGACAATTTCTATTGTGGCTAAAGCAAAACACCTAACTTTTGAACCTCTTTAAGATTTACCCTTCTATATTTAAATAGCCCACGTTTAATTTCTTATTGACAGTGGCTATATTTTCCGAACCAGACATGAGGACATAACATTTCATAAGGAGGAGAATAGTACCTTTAGGGACAGTTGACTACATTAATTGCAGTTGTTACAGAAATTCCAGGGCTTGTGGGTGTGTGTATGGCGGGGGGGGGGGTCCATACAGCTACTAAAAATGGGTAGCACCTTCAATTATAATGGAGCTATCATCACATTCTATTTTTACATGGACACAGTAAACACTTGGTGTAAAGGAAACTAGGGCTCTAAGCCTCTCGAGATCCGACTACCCGCCTCAGTACCGGGTCCTTTCCCACTTGCCTGGAAGGTCAACGGGACTGAGATTTCCCAGAGGAGCTTTGGGGACGTGCACGCCTGCGCCTAGACCTCGCTCACGTTCTAATGTGGAAGGTTGCGCGCGTTTGAGTGTCCATGGCAACAGGACGCTTCCGCCTTCTGGAAGCTTTAGCTCCAGCTCCACTTGTGAGGCCTGTCCGGGTGGGAGGGACCTGGGCATAGGGGAACAGATGGGGGCAGGAGGGGGTCGGGGCTGGGGAAGCTACTTGAAACATTTGCCCCGGGGACTGAAATAAACTAAGAAAGATCGGTCCAGGACTCAGCACAAAAGGATCTTTTCATTCCGGTCCTTTTGCCCACGCAGGGAACAATGCCTATGGAGGTGGTGGTGGAGCTGCAGATTCGGGCGGTAAGAGAGATCGACGAACCTCCCCTCCTTGGCCCCAAATCAGACTCTTTCCCCAGGTTCTTAAATGGCCCCACGTTGTTTTTACCACCCTCTGCCACCTCACCACATAGACATCATTATCTTTTGGAAGAAATCATACATCTGCCCCTAAGAGTCTCTGCACTGGTCTTCCTTGACTACCCAACCTTCAATTCAGCTCAACTTCTTCCTACTTTTTTCCCTCATTAAAGCCAACTTGTTTCTTAGCTTTATCCTGAAATTTTCTGTTCTTTTAAAATAACCCCACATTAAGTCCAAGAAGGATTTTCTTTTCTTTTTCAGGATAAAAATTTGTAAAAGTATTTTTTTAGACCTTCTTCTTCAAATATTTCAAAAAGTCTCATCATTTTCTGGTAATTTCTCGCCTCCACAAACCAATCAAATATTTCTAAGCTATTTCCCTTAGAGGTGGCTCTGGCTTGCTAATTCCAAAAGGTAGATCAGCCAACAGCTGTTTTATAATCATCCACTGAATCTTGCTTAAGTGAGATGCTGTGGCAAAGTGACTCCATTGTTCTTATTGGGGTTGGTCATTCATCTTATTTCAGTTTCAGTTTTCCAATCCTTCCATCTCTAGTGACAGACTGTCATGCAGCTTTGCCTCCAAACTGTAGGGGTTTTTGTCCTGGCCATGATTATAAGCAAAATACCTAATGGGTTATGGCTGTGGAAAATCTGGTTAGTCACTATATAAGTGACAAATGCTATGATTTCATCATACATGCAGCTACAAAATAAAGAGCAGGATTTCCTGGATTTGTCAGCAAATAAAACCAGGCTATAGCAACTGTACTCTATCAATTGTGAGCTCTCAAAGTGTGCAGTGAGGTGAAGAAGTTCTTGAGTGATAAATCAACTTTCCTCCTCGAGGCAAAAATTCAACAAGTTTTCACCTTATTTCATTCAACATTATTAATTTTAATTTTTAAAAAGCATTAACCAGTATACAATTAATTAATAGTGAAATCAGTTTTTTACTCTACAGTACTTAGATGCTCCAAAAATAGGGCAATTGATCTGTGCTTTAAAACCAGCAAACTACGCCCCAGCAGCTAAGACAGGGAATTCCAGAATTATGAACAGGAACCAGAAAGTAGGCCTAATTTTGAGCCCCTAATATTCAGACTTCTGGACTCTGCCAAAGGCAATGTCATGCTTCCAAATATAGAGCCTGAATTATTTCTGCCATTAAAATGGATGAAACAAAACATACCACTCAGTTTCAGTTTCTCTGATTCAAGTGAAGAGGTAGTCTGTGTTGAGGATGTTGTGGGAATGCAAATGATTTTATGTTGAAGAGCTGCCCCTCTTTCAGTGGGCCTCTCACACTCAGAAAGTTTATGTTTCCACCCAATCAGAGCCCACTTGTCACAGCCATTCTCCAGATTCCTATGTGCACCTCTATATGAAGGTCAAAGGCCACAATCCATTCTATTTATAAATCTCAAAATAACTAGTCATTAAAATTATCTGAAATACCAGTTCCATAGGTAATTTGAAAGTTCTCATTTTCAGGCACAGCAGCATTTAAAGCACATACCCTTTCATTATTCTTTCCTGATCAAAGAATGAGCAGTCCATCCTGCATTTTGTGGTCTTTGGTCTTTAGATTTGGGGAGGTACCACAGATAAACTGCTTTATGTAAAGGTTGATGTAAATGGACCTTAGGAGTGAGTTGTACCTTGTGCCTGGTATAGCAGCTAACTCCTCTGATGAATTTCAAATTATACACTGCTACCTAATGTGTGCTGTATGTAGGGAAACAGAATTCCATGTGAAAAACTGTAACACACAAGCTCATCCTTGTGGTATATATGAAAAAGCTTATGTTTTTGCATTGCAAAGAATCACATTATTTTTTTCATTTTATTAGCTCAGTAGAAGAGCACATTTTTTCTTTATTCACTAGAGATGACAGGCAGCAGGGCCCCATCTCTTGCATACCGGTCCACTGGCATAGTATGTAGGTAGCCTACCTCCAGCCTCTCAGTTCCTTTGACTGCCTCAGCAGTTGTCCTTCATGAGGCCATTGTCCTATCCTTCCCTTTTTTGATGGGATTATAGACATGGCCATATCTGTTTCTTCGAGTAAGTTCTTGGCTTGTTCTTTGAATGCTAAAAGACAGTATTAGAGTAGTGAAAAATAAATATATAAATTTAAAGATCTTTTGAGGAGCTAGAGGGAAAGGAAAAATGTGTACTATAATCTCTGTTCTCATTACCCAGTCTGCAAAGATGGAAGAGACAGGAACTCAAAAAGCTTACCAAATCAGGATTAAGAGGAAATCTCCCCAGCCAAGGCAACACATCTTCAGGGAATCAACTAGAAAAACCTATGTCTTAGGCTCGTAAATAACTAAGAACTAGGATTAGTATGCAGTTTATCTGCATGTATATTTACAGAATGAAGATCACGTTTCTTTTTCAAAGTTTAATTCACAAGTGATATGTTGATGTAAAGGATCACTACAAAACACAATTTTTCTGATGTCAACTTTTAGAAAACAGCAACATTAATTATCACCCAGCTTGGTTTCTTTCAGTTTTCCTGGAGATACAAACAATTGTTGAATGTATGATAGAGGAATTTTTTTCTTTCTGTAATACGGCTGTGATCAGTGATGGCCAGCATATGCTCCAGCCCAGCAACCCATCAAGATGGTAGGACACCTGAAATCCCAAAGGAAGCCTGAAATGTCTTAAGAGGGACAAACAGGATGGCTGCTGATTTCTGTTAGCATGATGGCATGATCACATGTGGAAACCTTTAGATTTCCTGGTGCCATAATGAATGAGATGGTGTCACTGTTGGTTCCACAGTGCAAAGAGTAACGGAGCATTGTGTGGTGAGAGCCAGCAATAGTCCACGATGCTATACTGCATGTAGCCCATTAAAAAACCAAAAGCCACGTCGGTGACATTGTGTCGCCCCAGCAAGACCCTAGAGAGGCCCAAGATGAAGGCCCACAGTACCACCAACACCCTCAATGGAATGGCCAGCACCAGGTGGTTCAAGATGAATCTCGACACCAGGGCGGCCCTGGTGGCGTGGCCCGAAGGGAAGGAGTACTTGTCCACGGAGAGGGTGACAAACATGTCCATCTGGTTGTGGGCTGGGCGTCGCCTGCGGACCAGCCCTTTGAGCAGGGCCACCAGCAGCAAGTCCAAAAGCAGGGCGAAGAGCAGGTTCATCAGCACCTCGCGCCCCGCCCAGCTGTCGCTCCTGGATAGGCAGTAGAGGGTGCCCAGCAGCCAGGGGATGCCATGTCCGGAGATCTCCAGCAGCTTCATAAGGGGCCGCACGCTGCCCCAGGAGGAACCCTCTCCGGCGCACACTCCCAGCTTCTTGGACAGCCACAGGTCGATAGCCAGTAAAGAGCGCAGGGCGATGCCCAGGAAGGACGGGTTCAGGTCCATGCGGTCCTCCTCAGGCAAGGGGGGCGGTGGTGCCTGCGAGGGGCTGGCTCCTCCCAAAGGGAAGGAGCCGCGACGGTGCACGGGGCTCTCGGACAGGCGGAGCCAGGCGCTGGTGGGGTCCGCACCCAATGCACGGCTGCCGAGCAGGGACTGGAACTCGAACCTGCTGCTGCTACTTCCACCGCCGCCGCTGCCATGGGTCGGGCTTCCAGGGCCTCCTCCGCCGCTGCTGCTCGAGGCAGAGGTGCCCAGCGGACGTCCCTCGACATTCCTCCGAGGGCTCGGCATTGAGACGGGCAGCCCGGAGCCCAACACCCAGCAGGCCTACGGACAGGCTCCCGGCCCAGCAGCCTCTTCCGCTTGCGCACTGCCATCCTAGAGGGGCGGGGAGAGGAAACAGCGCGAGGATGATTGTGACACCTGGCGGAGGCGTGGGTTGAAATTGGGATTCCAATTTGGAGAGGAGAGGGAAGGGTGTTATGGGAAGTTTCTGTGAAGGGTTGCGGTAGTGGGAGAAATTTGACATTGTGGGGTTGGTTAGGGAAAATAGATCCCGTTTAAAAACAAAACAAAAACCTGTCCTGTATCCCCCCCCCCCCCCCCCCTTGTTTTTAAGATTTCTTGCCCAGGGGTGTTCCTGCCTGACAAGCAAGATGTGTACCTTGGGGTTTACCTCCTGAATCAGTACCTGGAGACCGACTGCTTTCCCTCTGTGTTTCCTGTTACGATTCAGCAGAGAATGAAATTTAAAAAGGTGACTTTGACTTTCTCACTGCTAAATAGAGAAATTGAAATTTTGCTCTCTGAAGATCATTTAGTGGTTCTTATAAAGAACACAATTCTTATAAACTTATTTTGTAAACCTCCTCCTAAAAAATAGCATGAAGGCACCTCAGCGCAGTGTAGAATCATAGTTGGAAGATTTGCCTTTGTAGCCCGGGTGCGAGCCAGGTTCTGCCGTCCTAGTGCCATGCCGCCCCCCCATGACGTTTTCTGTTCCCTGAGCTCCCATGTCGTGTTACAACTGGAGCAGATAGAGCATTTTCTGAGTGTTCTTGGAGATGCTAGAAGCAGTTGCGTTACGTTTATGACAGGGATAATCAATAACCTAGCAGACCTTAGAAACAAATCTTATTAGACAAATTCATGAGGACTATAACCAAATTAGTTAAATTTTGTATCTGAAATCCTATAACAAAACAAGAAGTCTCAGACTTAATGAGTTTTCTTAGGTCATATACACTAGATATGACCTAATCTTCCCACTATAAATTATTAACTTTATTAGTACACAATCACAGTCCTTTCAATTTGTGGTTTTTTTTCTGATTTTGGAGATGGCATCATTTTGATTCCTTTAACCATGATACGTCTGATGATTTTGTCCTAAACAAGATCACTGAGGTCATTTTTTGGGATAGAGGATGAGTATGAGAAATGATTGTAGGGAGAGTCTGTCCCTTTTAAAGGTGCAGATGCCAGAAAATGACCCATTTTGACCTGAGAATGGCAGAGGAGATGGAGGGTGGATCATCTACATGGGCTAGATCCCTATGTAGTGTTTTTATAAACTACAGGATTAATTTAAATAAAGTCTACCAAACTGGCTGGGTGAGAGAGAAGAGGAACAAATGAACATTACCTGGGAACATACAGTTAGAATCCAAAGGAGCCTACTTCTACCATTTAGATGTTGGTAGTGGTAAAAAGTAGGTGGTAGAAATATGGTCTATTTTCCCCCCAAAAATGTCCTTATTTTTATCAGTCATAAGTTTGCTTCTATAGAAGCCTTAAAAAATCTTTCTTTGTAAGAAGCCCAAGAATACAAAATCCTAGCACAGAATGATAAATTTGTAAATGACCTTGGAAGTCACCTAGTTCAAGCTCCTTGACTTATAGAAGAGTGAGGCTCAGAGTCACATTCCTGATGCCACTACTGCTCTGTTGCAAAGCTGTCCATATGAGATTACTAGTCAAACGATCCATGGACTTTTCACTTCAAAAAAAATGCAATTCTATAAATGCTTTATTTTTTCAGAGAGAGGGGAAGGGAGGAAGAAACAGAGAGAGAGAAACATTGATCTGTTGCATTTCACATGCCCCCAACCAGGGACCTGGCCTGCAACCTAGGCAAGTGTCCTGACTAGGAATCAAACCAGTGACCTATTGTTTCATAGGCCACTGCTCAATCCACCGAGCCACCAGCTACTGCTTATTTATTTGTTTTGAATGCTTTATTTTAAATTTTGAAAATTGCCCTCTTGTGTGAACTGTTTGGGTTTGTATCCCAGCTTCCCATTTGCTCCAGCTTTGGTTGTATCTGTTCCATTCTCTTGCTGCAAGTATTTCTTGTATCTGTTCCAGTCTATCATGCAAACACTTGCAGCAAGTAGCAAAAACCTTTTCTCCTTGTACCTTCTGTGTAATTCAGAATGGAATGTTCTAAAGCACTTGGATAAATGAGAAGTTAGTCCTAAAGAATGTATGAGCCATCGTGTTTGATGTTGGTCATTTCATGTTGGTCATTTACTTCCAAAGATGGTACTTGAGAAGGTACCGTACTTAGTTAGATATGGATAAAGTGAAAGAATGTAGTTACTGAAATAATGTTAGGGAAAAAAATTGCCCATATTTGCTTGATAAATCCAAGTCAGTAAGACAAAAAAAAAAAAAACAACAGGGACAGCCACATTTTCATAGTTAAAATAGACCTGACTTTGGATTAAGAACAGATTTTAATCTGTTCTTAAGCACTTAAGAGTGCTTAAGTTTAAACACTATTTAAATCAGAACTTTAGTGCCTGAAATCAAACTGTGCTGAAAAGATTTTGGTTTATTTTCATCAGGGTTCTAGAGTTCAGGGAAAGGGATGTGGTACGTCTTTTATTTCAGTCCTGTTCCAGGCCCTTTTTATCTCAGGGACAAAATATGCAGATTTGGCAATGGCTAGACATGTATCACAGTGGTTTTCTTGTGCTTCATGATACACTTAATGAGTCTCTCCCTCTCTATTTAATTTTGTGAGAGTATGGTTACTAGCACTTAGCTTTTTTGTGTGTGTTACACATAGATAGAATTTTTATTTATGTTTCTTTGTAACACAACCAATTACTTGACAAGAAATGTCATTCATTCAGGTAACATTTCATTAATGTTTGTGATATTCAGAATGTGGTTTTTTCTTTTTTTTCACATTTTTAATTGTTTTTTAAGTACAGTTGTCTCCATCCCACGCCCTGCCGCCACCACTGCAGAATATGTTTTCTTAGGTACTCTAGAATCTTTAAAAATTTATTTATTGATTTTAGAGAGATAGAGGAAGGGGGAGGGAGGGAGAGAGAGAGGGAGGGAGAGAGAAAGAGAAACATTGATTTGTTGTTCCACTTATTTATGTATTCATTGGTTAATTCTGGATTTTTGTATGTGCTCTGACCAGGGATCAAACCCACAACCTTGGTGTATTCCAACTATGCTCTAACCAACTGAGCTATCTGGCCAGGGCATGATACTCAAGGCTGTTTGAGGTTGATGCCACATGTGCTTTTAGCAATAAACAGTAGGGCTATGTCAAGTTGATGACATTTTGAGGATGTGGTAGATTTTCCTTGCACTTGGTATTGTTTTGCTAATTCTCATTCATTTATTTTATAGTAATTTGTTGAACTTTTAACCACATATCTGTTAAAAATATTTCTGTTGAATCCTAAAAAATTATATGGCTGGATTTGATATGCATTAATTATGTGGAAGAATGTAATCTATAATTTCTATAAGTATATATTGAGAAAACTTTGAAAATTTATTTTCTACATTTTTTCCTGCAGTTATTTGAAAATGCAATAGATCCTGGAGCTGTAGCAGACATTTTAGAAAGTAGGTACAAGGTAGAGGCGTGTGGGGAGACTGTTGTGTGTCTGTAACTCACTGATATAAGATTCTACTATTTTTTAAGTTGTGATACTTACATGTTTGATCTATATTTATATTAAAGAGTCTGTAAAATTTGAATTACCTTTTTTCAATTATACTTTCCTAGATAAAGATGGAATATATCAGAAATTAAAATTCTATTTGTTTGCTTTTTACAATTAAATGGTTTTTGTATATTCACAGAGTTGTGTAGCTATGGCCATATCAGTTTTAGGACATCTCCGTTACTACAGAAAGAAACCCTATACCCATTCTTCCTCCTCTCTCCCAGCCCTAGGCAACTACTAACTAATCTTTCCATCTCCAGATTTGCTTTTTCTGGATATTTTACATAAACAAAATTATACAATATGTGATCCTTTGTGAGTGGTTTCTTTTATTTAGCATGATGTTTTTGAGATAGCAGGTGTCAGTACTTCATTTTTTTTTTATGACCAAATAATGTTCCATTGTATGGATATGTCACATATTGTTTATCCATTCATCAGTTGGTGGACATTTGAGTTATTTTCACTTTGAGGTATAATGAATAATGCTGCTATGAATATTTGTGGACAAGTTATTTTCTGGAGGTATGTTTTCATTCCTCTTGGGTATATACCTGGAAGTGGAATTTCTGGGTCACATGGTCATGCTGTTTAATCTTTTGAGGAACGTCCAGACTGTTACCAAAGCAGCTGTATCATTTTACATTCCACCAGCAATGCATGAGTGTTCCATTTCTCCACATCCTGGCCAACATTTGTTAGTATCTGTACTTTTGATTGGTAGCCATCCTTGTTGGTATGAAATGGAATCACACTGTGGTTTTGATTTGTGCTTCCCTGATAACTAATGATGTTAAACAGTTTTGATTTCTGTGTTTGTGTCTCTTATTTGGAGAAATGTCTATTCAGATTCTTTGCCTATATTTTAATTGGCTATTTGTCTTTTTATTATTGAGTTGTAAGTTCTTTAAATAGTATAGATACAAATCCCATATCACATTTATGATTGACAAATATTTTCCCCATTCTTTTCTGGTGTTCTTTGAAACACAAAAGTTTAAGTTTTGATGGATTCTATTTTATCTATTTTTCTTTTGTTACTTGTGTAACTAAGAAACCATTGTCTAAGTCAAGTCACAGAGATTTAGTCTATGTTTCTTCCAAGAGTTTCATGGTTTTAAGTGTTACATTTAGGTCTGTGATGCATACTGAGTTGATTTTTGTAAATTGCATGAGGTAGGGGCCCGACTTCATTTTTTTGCATCTCGATATCCAGTTGTCTCAGCACTATTTATTGATCAGAGTATTGAGTATTTTTTCACCCATTGAATAGTCCTTTGTTGAATTTCAACTTTTATTAAAAATGAATGACTGTAAATGTGAGGGTTTATTTTGGGGCCCTCAATTCTATCTCATTGAACCATATTCCTATCATTATGCCAATACCATACATTCTTGATTATTGCAGCTTTGTAGTTAAGTTTTGGAATCAGGAAGTGTGTATCCTGAAATTTAGTTCTTTTTCACGATTGTTTTTGTTATTTGGGTTTCCATGGTTTTCCATTTTAGGATCAGTTTGTTAATTTCTGCAAAGAAGCCAGGGGAATATTGCCATCTTAACAATGTTAAATCTTCTAATCCATAAACATGGGAGGTGGTGAGAATTAATTGACTGTAAGGAATTTAGAGCCTGAGACAAATGAAGTGTTTAACATTACTGTTAAGGTGATGGTTGGTAAGGATATTTCCCTCCTCCCACTTGGAAAACCTAAATTATGGGCAGTCTTGGCTTTTAAGTATTTTTGGCATTTAAGATTCTGTTCCTGTGAATTCATATGTTTTTCATTAGTTTACAGAGAAAATTTGACTTCCCTGTGTCTTTTTCCAGTTTTTTGAGATGTAATTGACATATAATGTTGTGTAAGTTTCATGTGTGCAGCATGTTGGTTTGATCAGTTATGTTTTACAAAGGGACAACCACCACAGTGTCAGCCAACACCTCTGTCCCATCACTCAATTATCATTTCTTTTCTTGCGGTGAGAACGTGTAAGGCTTACCCTCTTGGCAACTTTCATGTACAATTCGTCCTTGACTAACACCATAGTTAGGGGTACCCACCATCCACGGAGTGGAAGATCAAAGTGTAGTTTTTGATTCAGCCCTTTGCATCTGAGTATTTTCAATCTGTGGTCGCAGTTGGGAATGCAAAAATACTGTTTTGCACCCATGATTGGTTGAATCCATGGATGCAGACCTCTAGCTGTAAAGGACTGATTGTATTTATTGAAATAAAATCCACGTGTAACTGGACTCATGCAGTTCAAACCAATGTTATTCAAGGGTCAACTGTATATAACACAGTGTTATTAAACATAATTACTATTGTGTATTTTAAGTGTTTTCACTTTTAATTTTTGTGGGAATTCATTGATTTTTTATTGTTATACCATTTATATTTTAAATTACTTTTTCAAATTTTGAATTTTATTCTTATCCTTGTAAACATTGTACATGGGCTCACTATTTCTAAATGTATTTTGAACTCAGGAAATATAAAAAGTTAATTTTATGTCTCCCTTATAGACTTATATAACATACTATTTTAAGCAAGATAATTTTATAGGCTAATGGATAACATTTGTATTTTGAATTTTTAAAATGGAAAGTTTATTGTTATGAGTATATTTTTAAGAGAGAAAAATATTGCATTTATTTTGTCAGTAGTTTTCAGGGGATGAAATGCTGCTTTTATAACTCAGCTATTGTCCTCAATTGCCCATGATTTATTGGGTCTAGAAATACCTGAGTCATTGTTATGGCATTTATTATTACTAAAGTAATAACTATTACATTATCATTACATTTAAGTCCCATTTAATTCCACTGCTGAGAATGCAGAAATGGTTAGGAGCCCCTAACCATGGTGCTGTTCAAATTAAATGGGATGTTATGACAATTTTAAACATAGCAATTAATGGAAAAACTGGCAACTTTCTGAAGTATTAAAAATCTAATTTTTTCTTTTTTAGGCTTCCTAACCAGGTTTGAATTAATACAGCTAGTGCCTCCAGGTAATGTGCCAGTAAATGCATTTCTAAATTGGCTTAATTTAAATTTAAAAGGATTTTTGGCATGACAAAATGAGGATTGGTATTTAAAAGTCCTGCTTTGTATAAGAGTGTTCTTTACTCCACCAGTCTGTCTCATTTTGTCCACTTTCAGCAGAGTAACTCTTTGTATTCAGTGGTTATTTGACTTTCCTCATTCAGCTTCTTTCCGGTTTTTGCCTTTGACTTTATTCTAATTTGTGGAGTGTGTGCGAGTACAACCCAAAGCCACCTTCTCTGTTAGGTGCTAGAACAGGGGTGGCAAACTATAATTCCCAGGCCAAATCCAGCGGCACTGTTTTTGTGTGGCTCATGAGCTAAATCTCTACAGCTCAAAAAATTGAGATTTAATTCATATACTATAAAATTTATCATTGTAAAGTGTACAGTTCAGGTATTTTAGTATGTTTACAAGGTAGCGCAACCAGGAGCATGATCTAATTCCAGAATATTTTTATTGCCTGGAAAGAGACTCTGCATTCATTCATAGTCACTCATCATTCCTTCCTCCCCACAGCTCCTGGCCACTGTCAGTCTTTCTGTCCCTATCAGCCTGCCTGTTCTGGATATTGTATATAATGGGATCAGATAATGTATGGACTGTTATGTGTAGCTTCTTCCAGTTAATCATGTTTCAAGTTTCATCCATGTTATAGCATGTGTCAGTACTTCATTCCTTTTTGATGGTCAAATATTCTTTTATATGGATATACCATGTAACCAATACTGTTCTTTTCTTTGGGTAAGTTTGCTTATGCATTGATCAGTTGATGGACATTGGGTTGTTCCCACTTCTTGAATATTCTGAGTAATACTGCTATCAACATTTATGTGCAAGTTGTTGGATGAGTTCATGTTTTGAGTTCTCTTAGGTATGTTCCTAGGAGTGGAATTGTTTGGTAGCTCCGTGTTTAACTTTTTAAGGAACTGCTTAGCTGTCTTCATTCAGTTCTTACATTTTTAAATGGTTGGAAAGAAACGTAAAAATACAAATGTTCAGTGATGTGAAAATGATATGAAATTCAAATTTCATTGTTCATAAAGTTTTGTTGGAACACAGCCACACTCATTCATTTAAGTATTGTTTAGGGCTGCTTTCATGCTGCAGTGACAGAGTTGAGTAGTTGTGACCATACTCAAAGCCTAAAAATATCTACTGTCCAGCCCTTCACAGAAAACGTTTGTGACTCCAGTGCTAGAACAATGGGACCTTAGGGGGATATGTTCGGTGCTGCCTTTGCTGTATGGTGTCTTGAATGGCTGGAGACCTGAGCTAGTGAGAAAGTGGGAACCGCCACCTGGTGGCACCAATTCTCATACATAGTCTCTCAAAGTACTGGGTTGGCCAAAAAAGGCTGCTACTTTTTTCCATAAAATAAAAAAGGTACACTTTCCGTTTTCACCAATAACTGGTTTCATTTATCCAAGTATTCATTTATCCAACTATTGATTTGGATATTTTGAGTATGTCAGCTATCTTATACTATTGGTTTATAGTAGGTAGAGGCCAGATTGCCGCTAAATATCATCCAATGTATAAGACAGCCCTACAGCAGAGAATTATTTGGCCACATTGTGGCCAAATACAAAAGACTCTGCAAACTACTTTTGACATATTTGATCAGTCACAGCACCTTCTCCATATACTACACAAACCTTTTTTTGCATCTCAGTTGTGTTATCTTTCTTGAAATTTAATAAAGCATAATACACCAAAATGTTGCATATTTTCTTCTATTTTCAATATTTTTCTTCTGTCTTCTTCATTAAAATGGCTGAACAAAAATTCGCCAATTTTGATAAGTTTTTTTAAATGCGCACAGATATGATAGCTGTCACAGTCTAACAAAATTGTTTCAAGTGAAGTTGAAGACAACTAAGCACTATTAGAGCTACCTTGTGGGAAAAATGTAATGGACTTTTGGCCAGCCCAGTAGTTATCTGGTGACTTTAGAGTCATGTTCGTGTGCACATGTGTGTGCGTGTGTGTGTGAGAGAGAGAGAAAATATACCTAAATTCAAAAACATTTCTAATTTTCTTCTGATCTTTGCCATTAGAAATTTTTGCCCTTTTTCTTCCCCCAAATGAATCTTCATAGTTTTACCTATATAAAAAGCATCCCCAAATGATGAGAAAGCTTGTATTTATATTTTGGTGAACCTGTTTCTTGATAGTTTCCTCTGGACAGAAGAAAATATCAAGGCGTGGAATTTTTATGTAGTATCACATACATTTTCTCCTATTATTATTAGCTTCCCCCATCTCATATTCCTGTTTTCTTTTAAAAAATAGTAGTTCTACATCATTATTTTAAATAGTTATAAATTCACTAATTTACTTATGTGTTTTTATAGGCTTATAAACAGTATGTACATACTATTTTGGTTTTTTTTTCCTTCCATATTGTTACCTATAGTTTATTTGTTATTTTCACTAGCTATGTGTTTTTCTGTAGTGTTAGAATTATCCTTAAATTGGTATGGTTGAGCATTTAGGTTTTTTTGTGTTTCAAATTTTTATAAAAATTATTTTTTCTCTTGGTATATTTACAAAGAATAGAATTATTAGACTGAGCCATGCTTTGTAACCTGGGAGTAAACTGACCTCCAGTGAGTTTCCACCACTTTGCCGGCAGATGCCTCAGCTAAAGGGAGCTGTGGAGGCTTTTAGAGGCATTGCTCTGCCCACTGGGGCTGCCCCAGAGCAGGTCAAGGCCCCTGTGGAGTAGACCCAGGAGTCTGTAGTCCTTTGTTCTGCTTCTTGGTTCATTGGCAGAAGCAGGCTCTAAAAACAGATAAGAGCCCCACTCTCCATGGCTCTAGGGACAGTCATTGTTGCACATGTCATTGCTTTCTTGGGTTGACATGACAGAGAGCAGGCCAGCAATGTCTCCTTTCTGTTTTTCCCACTGAGAAATTCCCATTGAGTGTTTCTCAGACTAAAATCAGGGCATCGAGGGTTTTTTTGCCCCCCCCCATAAGTTTTTTTCTTATTTGGCCCACTTTCACATTTAAACATAAATCACTGCTAACTGACAAGTTACATTTTAGTATGCTAGTAAAATAGAAACAGGCCCATTTTAGTTTTATTTAATTTTACACGAATTAAAAAATTACTGGTACCTAAGTATTCTCACTATAACATTTTTAATTAACACAAATTTTATGAAGGAAAAAGTTAAAAGCCTTGACTTTTTTAAAGTCATCAACTGACAATAATTAGTTAACACTTTGTGTATATTTTTAGACCTTTTAAGGTGTATTTAGTATAAATATAATGCATTTAGTATATTCAACCAGCCCTAAAATAGTACATATATGTACATATGTGCATATATATATACACACTAAATATATCTGGTATTTATTATATGTATATTTAGTATTACATTTTGGTTCAATGTATATATTCTGCAACTTACATTTTGGTTCAATGTATATATTCTGCAACTTGCTTTTTAAAATTTAGTATATCCTACGCTGCCATATGTTTTTCATATGACTAGAAATCCATCTGTGAAGTGGTTGCAAGAATTGTTTGAAACTATGATGATTGGAGAATATTGAAGCTGGGTGTATGCATATTGGTTATAACTTAAAAATTAATCACATACACAAATGGAGGCTTTATTATATACTTTTTTGGCCTACATTTCTTCAGCTTCAGAGTGTAATTAAATTTGAATTGCTCAAATTAACAAATGCACTCAGTTTCAGATGCATTGTAGACTGATTCATTGTCCAGTGTATGTTTGTTGAGGGTGTGCAGGCCCTACCTGTGCTTGGTATCATCCAGGTGGCACTAGTCCCAGGGTGGCAGGGGTAAATTCTCTTGATCTACTAGTCCTTGATACAAATAATTAAGGAAATATGATTTGCTTGCAGTCTCATGTAGTCTGCACCATGTAGTAACAGAGGCCACATTCGGGTTTACAGGGACCAGTTATTCACTGGCTGAATTGATAACTTTTCATTTTGCTGTATATATTACTTTACTGTTTTATACTTTTTCCATTGCTTCCGTACACACTTATTATCGTCAAAGACATTATGATAATTAAATTAATGATACATATACCTCATATTTGCATATAGCACTGCAGCTAAAGAAAGATCCAATTATTTGTCTTAGAAGCAATAGACGACTTGCCCCCAATCCATCTGTCCAGTTTACAAAGCTAGGAAAAAGTGAATGGACATAGGGGGGCAGCATAATCCTGGTTGACAGTGAACTTGGTGCTTTCTTTTATTGACTTAAATAAAACCCCTTCTTTGGTATGTGTCTTGTATAGTCAGTCCAGCTGTAAAGTGCTATTTTAGTGAGCACCCACTCCCTGATTCAGAGCTTCACTTTATACTTGGTCGGAATGTTTAGTAGGCATCAGCAGGAAAGAACTTTTGCCTTGGATGTTCTGGTTTTGACTTTCTGCTTTGCCTCATGGCATCGTGACAAGTGTCTTCAACTCTCAGAGCCTCAGTTTCCTTATCTGCAAGGAGGGAATCAAATGAGATTCCATACTGGGAAACGAGCTGTCAATTCTGATATGCTCTGCAAATGCTAGGTATTTCTCAAACCAATATTGTTATTAAAATTATTTCTCTTGAAGTCTCATTTGTTTCCTTCTTGGGGAGCACCTACCTGCTCACTGATGGGACTGATGATGTCCTTGTCTGTGCCATAGCCTATTAAGAGTGTGGAATTTTTCAGACATTTCACTTGCTCTATAAGAATTGCTCAGCCTGTGTCTATGTGTGTTTATTATTTACAACCTGGGCTCTTGTCGTAATATCCCCTGATGTGCCGACATTTTCATACTGGGCGGCACTTCGGATCTCGAGACCAAACCAGAGAGGCGGAACTGAGAAGCTTTGCAGCCTTCTGTTTCTCTAGTGCTCCTTGTCTCTTTTTATCCCTGGGATTCCAAAGATAGTAGATGAGCTCACCTCCAGTTCTCTGACAACTTATTTGCATCTTAATTCTTGCTACATACAGGAATAGCAATTTATCATTATAAATGCAGTGACAAGAACTAGGCGAAAACATGTGAAAAGGAAAAAGGAAAATCTCAGTGTGCAGAGCATCATGCCGTGAATCAAGGTGTTTGTTCCCAGTAGGAACATGTTATTGAAAATGCAATAGTCATAGAGACCAGGGTAGTGCTGGGATGGCTGCTGGGCTGGTGTCAGGGAGCCGTCCTGGTAATGGCAGGTAAGGCAGGCACTGTGCTCTGCCCTTCACATGTGTTTGTCATTTGTCCTCACAATAGTCCTTAGAGGCAGGTACTGTTATGAGTTTTACATCTTTCTGAAGAGGGAACTAAAGTTAAGGAGTTGACATAATTTGCTCCAAGTCACATAGCTGGCAATTGGTGAAGCAAGGATTTGAACCCAGCTCTGTCTGAATCTAGAACCTGAGTTTTTACCCAGTGTGCTGTAGGTCTCAGTAGAAATTTGTATTTTGTTGTTAGTGATGAGTAAGGAAGTTGTCACATCACTTCCCATTTTCAAGTTGCACTTCCGAGATTACTAAATGGAGGAAGTCTCTTATGCCAACAAAAGTGGGGAGGTCATGCCCATCATGGGGAGCAGGTGGAGGGCTCCTTCTGCTGTAATGATAACATCGCAGGGTGTGGAGAATGTATTTGAGTGCAGGAAGAGTGGAAGCAGGCTGACCAGCTAGGAGGTCATGACAGTAGTCCAGGAGAGAGGTGGATGGGGCTTGGACCAGGGTGATAGCTATATGAATGGAGAGGAGACAGTTTTATATTTATTCTGGAGATAGAGTCAGCTGGACTTGCTGATGGATTTATGTAAGGAATGCAAGAGTAGAATCAAGGATAAATCCTAAATGTTTGGCTGGAGCAGCTGGTACTGGTTCCTCTGATGGGAGGAGGGAAGAGCTTATTTGTGGTGGAAAACCAATCAAGAGTTCTATTTTGAACCTGTTACGTTAGATATACTATAAGACATTTAAGGTGAAGCTTGAATGATGAACAGGATATCAGCAAGATGGGAAGGAAGAAAAGACATTTTAGAAGGAATAGCCTATGCTGAGCAAGTGCATAGCAGGGGAGGGAAAGATACATTATTAGTTTATTGTGGGTGGAGCACGTCTGAGAGAAGAAGAGTAGAAAGAAATGATATTATGATGAAAAATACAGAATACTTTTTTGTACTTTCACCCTTATTAGAACCCAGTAAGTGAAATAAGCAGGAAGAAATTGATCCATTATATTGTTTGATAAAAGGTCAATTATTTCTACTGTTGATGTACCAAAAAATACCCTCATCAGAATTGTTGTCACTAGTAAAATGGCAGCTGCCAGGCAGCAACACCCCCTCACTGATTAGGTCACTGTTTTGGCAGTGCTCCGCAGAGGGGCCGTGCTCAGTGCAAACCACCTGTGTAGCAACTACCATGCAGACGAGGAGGGCTCAGGTGGCAGCTTCTCCATCCTTTAGCTCAGTGATTCTCAACCCTGTTAGACCCAAGATCTACTTTGGCTAATATTTTGTAGCGTCCCTTTTACCATACTGAAATAATATTCATAGTTAATGGGACCAACTTATTCAAACCACAGTATTGGAACTGTAATATAAGGGAGAAATAAAAGGAAAGCAATTTAAAATAAAATATGTATATTAATGTATTTACACAGCATGTAAATGTTGGGCATAGTGAAGTATTTAGATGTGATGTGATTTTCAAAATGCCAAAAGGATCACAGTAAAGATCCAGACAGCAAAGTACAATACTTCCTTAATGTACACACTACTTGCATTCCTGAAAATCCAGTGTATTTTAAAATTATGCAGAAAAGTTGTATTTATATGTATCAGTTAGGTTCATACAGTAGTTTCTCGCTGGAAAGAATGTCTGGTAGGAGGTCAGGTGGTTGTGCAGGAGAGTCTTGAGCATTGCAGGGCCCTTGGCTCCCACCCATGAAATGTCTCCATGAGTTTTGGAAGTGCCCCTGGGGTTGAAACCAGCTCTGCTAAGATCCAAAGCTCTAGCTGTTCTCTGGGCCACTGGGACATTTGCATCCCTACATCACAGAACACACTGAACCCCTGTCTGCACTGTGGCTTTCCCATGAACAGCGTATCGCCTTGTTCCTGTTCTATCCCCATCACCTGGCCCGTGGTATGTCCCGAGAAAACATTTGTTGAAGGAAAGAATGGATGGATGGGTGGGTGGGTGGGTGGATGGATGGATGGACAGAAAGAGATTTTTCTCTTTGTTCTGTTTTGTAGAACAAACCTTTAGATAGCGTCGTATCCCTGTTATGACTTAGGGGGGCTTTTAAAAATTATCCATGAGATAAAAAGTAGTAGAAGTCATCTGCCTCTTGAATAATAGATACTATAATCAAAATGTCTCTTTTTATCTACGTGCCATCTCCGCCTGACTGCTGTCATCTAAGCTTTTATTTTGTTAAACTTGGGATGTAGATACATTATTTTTAGAACATAAATCTACTTATGCCTTTCCTTCTTTCTTCTAGTGTGGGAAGAGTTGGCCTACTATGAAGAAAACACACGGGAGTTTCTTTTCCCCGAGCCCAAGCTGACACCTCCGAACCCTGGCATGTGTAGGGAGGTGCTCATGAAAACGGCTGCAGGTTTTCCCGTAAGCGATCTGTGCCCAGCTGGGCTTTTGTTGCAGGAGAAATCCTTGGGGCCTGAACATTTTGTTCCTGATAGGGCTTGCTCTTGGGCTGATGCCTTCCTCTTGGTCAGAATGCCTGTTATGCTGTTCAGTAGCCTTGTTCAGGTGCCCCACTCCAAAAGATTCCCGTTATTGACCTGAGAGGTGGGAGTCTTACCTAATCTGGCTAAATCAGACTCACACTGTCACATAATTATAAAAAGGATGATTTTTTTACCTCTTCTTAATGCAGATTAACTGAAAGATGTGGTGTCAATTTATTTAATTATAGCTGTTGTTTTAGTAATAATCAAAGTAAAATAGGGCAGTAATAGTAATAATGCTACCTCTCATTTAGTTTGCACTTTAGTTTTTCACATGATATCTTACTTTCCTCATAACAGTTCTCAAGTCAGCCAGGGTGGACATTATGGTCCCCATTTAATGGAGGGGAAACTGACAGAGATTCACAGACTGATACTAACGATGGACCTTAAATTATAGGGCAGTTATTCAGTTGATAACCTTTTTATTTTTTAATTGAATTTATTGAGGTGACATTGCTTAATAAAATTGTATAGGTTTCAGGTACTCAGTTGATAATCTGTTTGTGGGCATTATCTGAAACCAGATTCAAAATACTCATTTTGATGTTATCTGTGATGATTTCTAACTCTGCAGCAACTCTGACAATTTACTTGACTTTTATGTCATTTGGATGACCTTCATTTTAAGGGTCACATCTTGTAAATTACAAAATGCGTATTTAATATTCAACTCGTTATCATCATCTCTATTTTGTTGAGGGTATTGTGCAGAATAGATAACATGCTGGACCCCATTTCTGTGACATTTATGATAATAGAACTTGTATTTCTAATCCTTCAAACAGTAAAACTTATCAAAAGTCATCCTAATCAGAATTCCCAAAGACTGTAACTTTAAGCCCTCCATTATCTTGGAGGGTTTGGTGAATATCAGTGACACCATTTTTTTCTCAGAGATATTCTTTGTATATCACTTATATCCATGGTACTCATGAGATGTTTGCCTTTATTATTTTGAGCTATTGAGATATTGCTCTTCAGAAACTAAAAGGGTAAAAACAGGTGAGAATCAGGCGAGGAATCTGCCTTATATTAACTTTGTTTTACCTGAGTTTTCTATTAAGTAAAAGCCATTGATCAACATTGGGCTGGTATCCAGCTAAGTATCAAGACAAGGAGAGACACAGCCTCTTACATTTTTCCAAATGTTATCTTTGTTTAACTTAATGAACATGTGTAGGAAGAAGAATCTATAGGAAGTTGTATTTATAGTTATTCATAAATGGAGGTAATTGTCTGAGGAAAGGCTTTAAAACTGCAGGGAAAGATCCTCATGCATTAGAGTTGAAGTATCAATTCTTACAATGAAGTTAATCAAACTATTTTAAACAATTTGTAAAAAGATAGAGGAGCCCGGTTTCTCTCATATCTCCTTATAAAGCAAAATAAAACCACTTGCTGAAGTTTTAATAATAGCCGACATTCGCTGTGTGCTCATTAGATGCCAGGCATGGTGCTGAGCTTGTTACATGGACTATCTCGTCAGTCCTCCTCAGCCCTGCAAGGCTTTTTCCCTCATTTTGTCGATGGAGAAGCTGGCATAGGGAGTTTAAGAGATGTACTCAGAGTCCCAGAGCAGGTGAGCAGTGGAGCAGGGATTCTCATGCTGGCCTGTTGGACTGTGAAGTGTGCACTCTTAGTCACCACCTGATGCTATTCTCTCATGTTTATTGTCAGATTTCCTCTTACTAATATTGTATGACATGAGAATAAAGTACATATGAGGTCGGGCAAATTATTCATTTTATTTTTTTCTCTTTATCAATTTTTTAAGAATTACATATATTTCCTCCACTCAACTGTGGCTTTTTCTTTGTATTTCCATATTGTTTTATTTTATTCACTTGATACTCTTACCAGCTTCCCTCCCTCCTCACTTCCCTTTTACTGCTGAGGTCAAGATTTTAAAAAATATATAATGTTTTCTTGTTAGGTGAGGACTGAATTTATAAGATAATCAAGGAGAATATTATTTTTTAAATGATATATTTTTAGTTAATTTTATGTTTTTGTTAGTACGGTGATTCTAGAAAAATCCTACTGTTAAATCCATTTATTGACCTAACCATCCTCACCATCATCCCATTGCTAAGAAGATCGGACAAAACAGAGCCTGTAAATTTTAGCTCTAAACTGTTATGGTAAAATTGGTGCTGCTATGAAAAAGAACACATTGGTTCTTATTGTCTATAAATAATTGCCAGGAGTGGAGGTTATTTAAGGCGAGCAAGAATGTGTTACAGAGTGTGGCTTCCTTCCTGGTAGGGACCCTCCTCTCCTCTCCAGGTACAGTGGGTCAGGGATTTGAAGAACTCTTGAGCAGCTCAATGGATAGTGGTTAAGTATGGCCTAAGATCATCTGGGTTCAGTCCCAGTTTGACACTGTGACTTAGGGTAAATTACTTAATCTACCTTAGTTTTCTCACCTATAAAATGGGACTAATAATAGTACTTTCTTCATAGGGTTATTGGGAGGGTTAAATGAGGTAATATATGGATAGCGTTTAGCATAATACTGGTATATTATATAGTTAAGTGCACAATGAAGGTGAATTGTTATATTTTATTGTACTGCCACTGAAGGTTTAATACTGCCTCCCTGTGAGGCAATGAGAAGACAGTACAAGTCTGTGCCTCAAGAGATGACTTATTCAGGCTCAGGTAACTGGACCATGGGGCACCAGGGGCCTGCCACACATGTGAAGTCTTGCGATTTAACCAGTAGCATTGTGGAGCCTGGAACTCTTCTTCTTGTGGTCAGTCTTGTCAACCGGAGGTGATGCTGTACTGGTCATGTCATTGTACGTTCTTTATCAAACGCCCCCTTGGGTTATCTGACCCTGTGCAGTACCTGGGGCCTTGTGTTTGTAAGCTCAGAAATTTTGAGTCACCAGTCTATACCTAGTACTCTTAAGAGCGTACTATGCATTCTAGAGTTTCCCCTATACCACAAAAAAGGAGCGAAGAATGTAGGTTGTGTCTGTTAAGGACTTGTTTTGTAGACAAGAGGAATGCACAGGGGTGGATATGTATAGGAATGAATGTACAGGAAACAAGCTGAGTCCCCCTACCCCTCAGGAGGTAGCATGGGGTAATGGGAAGAATATGGGCTTTGCTGCCTGACAGCTGCAAATCCTGGCTCTCCCAATGGCCAGCTGTGTGACATTGGACATAATATTTGACCTGAAATATATATATTTCACAATATTTTAGACAATGTGATATTGAGCAAAAATAGGAGTATCAATGCAACAAAATGAAGAGTTTGGAAATAGGTCAAATGAACATAAATATTTGGTATGAGATATAAAGCAAGTTTTTCAAAGCAAGTAGATAGGAAAGGAAAACTCCTATCCCTCATTTTCCCTAGGTACTCTCATTAGAGTAGCTAACTGCATGGACACTGGAGTGCCTGGATTCAATAACCAGCTTTGCCATCACTAGCTGGGCAAGATACTCTAACTCTGTGTCTTAGTTTCCTCCTCTGCAAAGTAGAGATACTATTAAGACCCACCTTATTAGGTGGTTTTGAGGACTAGATGAGTTCCTACATGCAAAGGACTGAAGTCAGGACCTGGCACATAATACAACTTACATGTTTAGCTATTCTTACATATTATATTTATTTTTCATCTTTATTGGTATATATATAATTGACAAAACTTGTATACATTTAAGGAGTACAACTTGATGTTTTTGTGAGATAATTGCCACAATCAAACTAATTAATGTATCTGCCACGTACTGTTACTAGTTACCATTTTCTTTTCTTTTGTGCTAAGAACACCTAAGATCTTAGACATTTCAAATATCTAATACAATATAGTACTGTTAACTATAGTCACATCACTGTACATTAGATCTCCAGAATTTATTCATCTTGCATAATTGAAATTTTGTACCCTTTGAGCAACATCTACCGATTTCCCTCATACTATAAGCCCCTGACAACCAGCATTCTACTTTCTGCTCCTATGAGTTTGACTATTGTAGATTCCACATATAAGTGAGTTCAAGCGGTGTTCATCTTGTGGTGTCTGGCTTCTTTCATTTAGCATAATGTCCTCTAGGTTCTTCTATGTTGTTGAAAGTGGCCAAATGTCCTTTTTTAAGGCCAAATAATATTTCATTGTGTATATATATATATGTTTGTTACATGCATATTTTAAGTAATGCATATGGATTATGCCAACCACACAAAAGAGCAATTAGATTCTTGCATGATTTCAAGTTAGGATGGGATGGGCAAAGGACCTGTTTCCAGTCATTTTACTTGCCTCTCTTATACTGTTTTATTTTTAGGGCATTGCTCCCAAAATAGAGTTTTCTACAAGGACAGCCATCAGAGAATGTGTGCTTCTGCATAGAAACAGATTTCTTGTAAGTATAATCAAGAAGCCAGTAATAGAAATGTCAAGAATTTTCTCCACAAATTTAAAGAACTTGGATTATCAAGTTTAGAGGCAACTGGATGAATAGAAACCTGGAGACTTACTGCTAATTTTGGATTTCTGTAAAACTATTTGCCCAGCTTGTCACATTAGAGCCACTATGTTTGACACATTCATCATGGTACAGTTGGTGGAACAGAATGATCTCGAGCTAAGATCACAAGTTTGACGTGTAAGTTAGTTATCTTTTTCAATGGTTGTTGTTCCAAGATTTTTACCCTTGATTTATGAACAATAGTGTCTCTTTCTTCTTCTGAGGCTGAAGCTGAGAGTCGTATTGTGGGCCATTTTTGGTCATCGTGAAGGGTCTTGGGGCATCTGTGAGCACTCCCTGCATTTCATTCGCTTGTTCAGCCCTAGCTTCCCCTTCACCCTGATTTCTTTTTGTGTTTCTTTTACCTGATTGTACACAATTTTTTTTTTAATATTTCATTTATTTATCTTTAGAGGGCAAGGGAAGGAGAGAGGGAGAGATTGTATTGCTGGGAACTGGCCTGCAGGGCTCTCCTGGTAAACAATTTTATAACAATTTAAAGTCCTTTCTAGAACAGTATGGAGAATGAACGTAATGTAATTTGTGAAGCTTCTTTGAATACTTTGCTTGTCATCCTCAATCTTGCCTGATCCTTCAAAAGACCTTGAAAATGTGGGCTGTGGGTACTTAATCACCAGTCTGTGCAATCCATCAATCCTCTGGGCATTATAACTCATACAGTGGGAGACCAATGATTAATTTTAAGGAAGTATTTAGCTGCTTTTCAGTTTTCTTTATTTACCCACTATTTTCTCCAGTTATATGTATGTGCAATAAATTTTCCAGTCTTTTTTTCTTTAAAACCTCTCTATATGTGTGTATATATATAGTATATATTTTATGTACATATAATTTATATACGTATAATATATATCTTTCTCCTATTTATATATATTTATACATAGGTTTTTTATATATATAAATTTTATATATCTATCTTCCTTTTATATATACATATATGCGTGTGTGTATATATATATACATAACCTTCCTTTTAACACTTATAGAAATAAACAAAAAGGACATAAAATTAAAAATTGTATGTAATTTGTACTATCTAGAGATGAGCATAATTTTTAAAATATATTCTTCTCTGCAACACATACACTTTTATTTAAGGATTGGAATCATACTATACTGCATATTATTTTATACCCTTCCTTTTTCACTTAATATACCATGAACATGTTCTCATGTGCTTAAGTGCTTTTTAAAAAAATCCTCACCCGAGGATGTGTTTATTGATTTTAGAGAGAGAAGAAGGGAGGGAGGGTGGGAGAGAGAGACACAGAGAGGAAAACATCAACCTGAGAAAGAAACATCAAAAAGTTGCCTACTGTACGCACCCCGGCCAGGGGTCAAAGCCACAACCTAGGTATGTGCCCTGACTGGGAATTGAACCTGCAGCCTTTTTTGTGTATCAGATGATATTGTAACCAACTGATCCACCCAGTCAGGGCTCCTTAAGTACTTCTACACCAAGCAAATTTTCATGGCTTCATTGCGTGCCATTGCTCAGTAATACCATAATTTATTTGGCCAACCATTTTCCTGCTATTGGCCACTTAACCGTTATGCCACAGTCCAGTCAGGAAAACAAACCATGCATATTATTTTAACAGGAAGATTTAATGAAAAAAAAAAAAGGCTAAATAGGGGCTGGAGTACTGAGAGGTAAAAGGAACACTGAGGTGATGGAGACAGTAACCACAGGAAGCAGCTTCCACCCCTTGGACCGAGGAAACGAAGGAAAGAGTTTGGGCCATCTAGAACATAGAAGCTTGAGGAAGAGACCCCATGAAAGGGAATCCCATAGAAGAGGGACCCTGGGGAGAAGCTGCCTTCCTGGGCGATTCCTCAGAAATTCAGTGGTAGGACTTGGATGAGCTGGGACTCAGACCTCTGAGGGGGCACATCGCTCATAGCGGGTGCCTCAGCTCCTGTGGGGTGAGACTCAAATCTCGGAGTGCTGGTATATCTGAGGGGGTTCCACTAAGGCTAGTTCTGGGATTACTGGAGTGGCGGGAACTATACCCTGGAACCACGGGCTGCTGCCAAGATAAAGCATGGTTGCTGGACTGATGCTGACAGAAATAGAATGCAAAACTGGCAGTGGCCAGTTCTGCCTTCTTGGTGCAGTCTTGCAGGCTCCCTCTAGCGCCTCCTAGTGGTGGTAGAGTCAAATGAGAGCTGGAGAGGAGAAGGGTTTTGCAGAGTGACAGCCCTGTATTTTAAGCGGAGTCTATAAAGGTGGGTTTGGAGTTGAGAGGCAATTGCTTACTCACATTTTATCAATATAGTTGGTTTCTCAGTTTTGAACTGTTATAAAAGTATTTTTAGCTAAACACATAGTCATAATTATTTCCTTATAATAAATTCATTGATGTGAAATTGTTGGATCTGAGTATATGCCAGATTCTCTCTCTCATTCTCAATCTTAATATCTGTGTATCTATCTATGACTGGGGGAAGTTTCTAATACTTACCAACTGTCTCCTAATACAAATAAATCTCACTGTTATTAATTGAAATATAACATAATGGCAAGTTATAAATACTAGTAAGTTTAAGCTGAACTGAAGAAAAATTAAGTAGAAAAATGCCCTTACTTGAGTTTCTGTTTTACAAATCTGAGATGGTCAGTTTTCTACCTTAATTAAACAAAGTTCAATTAGATATAATTATATTCTGGTAAAATTTTCTTTTTAAATTTTTGTTCTTAAAAGTATTGGTTTTTTTTCCTTTGTGGTTTCAGGAAGAAAGTTGTAAGTCACGAAGTCCTTTATCTACACCATATGGACCAAAATTCCCCTCAAACAATACACATGGGAAGCCAAAGGAGCATAATCTCAACAAATCGCCCCAGAGCATGCAGGCCCGAGTGCCCTCTCCATATTCTACCAGGCGTTTCTTCCAGGACCAGCCAGCTCCAGAGAAAATCTCCAGAGAAAGCAAACCTCCATTTGTAGTTAGACATGTGAGCCTAAAATTATTTTTCAGAGTTGTTTGGAATGGTGAGGGTATGAATGAACTCGGAATACAGGAAGTTTAGGTCATAAAATCAGGTGGTTAATATTAAATAAAGAAGTATTCAAAGTCATGAAAGGCAAGGACCTACACCCAAGATTACTCTATGCAGGAAAGCTATCATTTAGAATGGAAGGGAAGATAAAGTGCTTCCTGGATGAGGTCACATTCAGAGTTCATCATCACCAAGCCTTTATTATATGAAATGATAAAGAGACTTATCTAAGAAAAAGGTCACCTGGATGGTGTGGCTCAGTGGACTGAGCTCTGGCCTGCGAACCAAAAGGTTGCTGGTTCAATTCCCAGCCAAGGTAGATGCCGGGGTTGCGGGCCAGGTCCTTGGTTGGGGGCAAGAGAAAGGCAACTGATTGATGTTTCTCTCACATTCTTCCTCCCTTTGCCTCTGAAAAAATAAATAAAATCTATTTTTAAAAAAGAAGATTAAAACTATGGAAGGAAATGGAGAAGCCACAGAACTTATATGTACAACCCATGGATATGAACTAAGACGGGGGAATGCTGGTGGGCGGTGGAGGTGCAGGGTGGTGGGGAATATAAGGGAGAAAAAAATGGGACAACTATAATAGCATAATCAGTAAAATATAATTAAAATATTAAAGAGGGAATTCAAACTGAATAATAACTGATTAAATTATGTTCCCTTCCTAGAGTCATGTTTAGAAAATTCTTATAAAGATGTTTTGTACAGAGGACTTGCTCTCCAGAAGCTATCCCTGCTTTTAATTTTTGAAAATTGTTAATTAAGAGTGTCGTGGCAACCGTCATCCAGAAGAATCAGCGAACTAATAGGGAGAAGACACATAACAAAGGCTGGCCTATACTCTGTGTCAGTCTAAAACTAAAGCTTCATCAGTTTTAAAGAAAACTGCTTGAAGTTTTAAATGAAGTTGCTGCTCACTGGCCATGCTTTAAAGAGCAGGGAAGATGTATATGCAGGAAGAAGCAATAATGTGCCATAGTCAAAGCCCCTGATTAAATTTATTTTAGATTTAAACCTCAGAGAAGTTGGCAGATTTAATCACACTAGTTCTTTTAATCTCCTTAAATTTTTTGACTACTATAAAAAGTAAGGAAAATATTGAAATATTCAAAATAATTACCTGTAGGCTCACCAGCATAATAAAGATAACTAAATTATTTATTTAACTTAATTCATTTTTACCTTTTTATACTCAAAAGGCCTTATTGTTCCACAAAGCTGTAATTATGCTATCTATATAGAGATAAGATTCTCAATATATACAGTTAATATTACATTAAAAGCATTTCTAATATTTCATATTCTTCATTAACACCATTCTGCGTTCTAGTTCATGACTTATTCTCTAGTAGTTCTTATAATTCTACTAACTATTGATATTATTGTTAAATTGATAATTTGACTTCAAGTCACCAGTGGTGACGTCTGTGTATTTGACATCGGATAGGCAGCATGGTAAACCCCAAGGTCATGCTGTTGTTGAGATGACCATGTTCTGAGTTGGTTTTTAGCTAGTGTGGAGATGTTCTTTAGCTAAAAACACAGAACAGCTGTTTTCTTCATGATGACTTGGAGAACAATGTCTGGCAAAAATCTAGCAACCAGTCTTTAAACACATGGCATCACAAAAATATTGTTGAGTTGAGTTTCTTGGACAGTCTGATTTATTCCATTTGAAATACATTTTTGTAAAATATAACTTTAGTCTGTGCTGTTGTGGGATAAATAACCTTAAAATCTTGGTAGGTTTCTTAGGTAATAAAACGAGCTTGATATTTATTTCATTAGACAAAGTCTTCTCTAGCCTTTACTAAGTGCGAAACTCTTCTAAGTGCTTTATACATTTTCTTTCATTTAGCCAGATTTCCTGATATCTGGTGTTGCTTTGAGTAGAAGCATTTAAATTTACAAGACCTAATGTTGTAGAGACTGTGAATTCTAATCAAGATTATTTCTTCAATTAGAATGAAGAGTAATGTTATAACCTCTTTTCTTGAAATTAAAAACAACAAATAAACAAGATAAAACAAATCCAGCAACTCTCCCTATTTATTTTACCTGTTTGCAGATCATTGTCTAGTTTGTGAAAATATGGTCACTTTAAGTACAATAATATAGTCACTCAGACTGGCAGGGATGTGGAAGCTGAACAGTCATCTTGTGACAATCCATTGTCTTCAGGGAGGGCCCGACCTCCTAGGCCAGCACCGGGAACATGAAACTCTGCCCTGTTTTAGAGGGGGGAGGTAGGGAGAAGGAGGGGGCGTGGGGGGGGGGGGGAGGGGGGGGGCGGGGGGAGGAGAAAAAGAAACAAAAAAAATAAAAAAATAAAAGAATGCAAAGTGAACTTCACTTGCTCTTTTCTGGGCTTGATCCTTACCACTGGTTAGAATATAACTTTTGTCCAACTTTAGTTGTTTATGCTAACATTTAGCCCATCTCTCTGTGACCTAGCCTCGGTGGAGACAGGGACAGACTTCTCCTACTGGGATAATATTGAATGCAAATGGAGACTATGATTTAATTTATTCCCAACCTTCTTTTCCCACTTGCACGACCCACGACGGAAGGGGAGGAAAGCATGGCAGGTAAGGTGGAGAAGGTAATACGAGCTACAGTGGGTTCAAATCTTAAAATTTCTTTCCTTTTCTTTCAGGTGGACAGTGCAAAGCCCTTTGGTGAGGATATTTCAGAGCATCATTCTGGGAAGTCTAGAAGAAAATCCAAGTTTTCACACTTTCCCTTTCCCACGAGAAGAGGTATTCAAGTTTCTTGTTACTCCCGTACATTTTCCTATGGGAACAAATGCACCCTACTTCTAAATCTTTCATACTGTGGAATCACAAGTTTCTTTGGAAACCTGGGGTTTAACTTCAAGTACTCTCCAGCTGTGGGGTTTCCAGGGAAGGAGTTCCCGTGGAGCAGAGTCAGCTGAGAAGCTGGAGTTCCTCGAGCTGTTGAGGAGACTGCGCTGCATAGCGTGGCCCCCACGTGTGCTCTGGCAGCATTTGTGTCCTGGCTGGGCTGGGAAAGCAGGGAGCAGCTTGTTTTGGTGCAAACTCCTTGCAAAGGCACTGTTGATAGCTAACAAGTAAGACTCGCCATTTCTCTGGATAGGAAAGAGCATGGGATCGGTGATTAGGAGATACAACATTTGCTTAATAAGAGTCCGTGTTAGTAAGGGCAAGTCAACTCTGAAGCAGTTAAGGCAGGGGATCTCAAACTTTCAGGTGTCATGAAAATTGAGGACCTCAAAGAGCTTTTGTTTATGTGGATGATACCCACATAAAATTGCATTCTTAAAAATTGAGGACCCCAAAGAGCTTTTGCTTATGTGGATGATATCTATTAATGTTTAGCGTATTAGAAATGAAAACTGAGAAATTTGTAAAATACAAGAATACACAAGCACACATTCCACTGTCATAATGTCAGAGTACATTGTGACATGCTGTGTAGCTTTGTGATATTACACTTGATCTTAGACAAAAGGCCAAGAAGTTACATAGCTTTTTGAGAACTCCATTGTACAATGATGACAGAAGAAGAGTGAAAAAGGCAACTTATGTCATAGTATTATTAGGAGAATAGTTTTGACCTTGCAGATCCCCCCGAAGGGTCTCGGGGACACCTGGGGAGGTCCCTGGACCACACATTCAGAGTCATTGGGTTGAAGCATCCCTTGGAGATCTTCACCTTTGATTGAAATGCACGAACTGTATCAATACTGAAGGTCATAGTAGTGAAGTTCAACCATTCCTGAGCTTAATAAAAATTCTCGGGATAGAAAGGGATGATGGTGGTCCATTCTCTTCCCCCTGGTGGGACTGCACTGGTACCGTCCCTGACAACAGGTTTTCCTATCTTAAGCCTAAAGGTTTGTAGTTTTAAAGGGCTGCACAGTCTCTTCTGAAACTGAAGCTGGTGTCCTTGCATCCTGGTGACTGACTGCAGCCAACCAAGGACGGAGTACACTTTGACACAGAAAGTGCTTTATCACCTCTGACATTTAATTTAAGTCCTTTGGATTGAAACTCACCGGGATCTCCTGTAAAAGCAGCACTGTCTTTCCTGTTACTGTGAAATCCGGCAACAGCAAATATCCTTTTCCAGAGAGGGCCAGCTGGGCTTAATGCTGGCCCAGTTATGATAGGACTCACATACCACATTGCTCTCGGCCTTTATTTTTTCCTAATCCTGGCAGGTGGAGAACTAAGGTTCCAGAGAGGTTACAGAATGTGTACAGGTCACACACCGATTTTTTGGCACACTTACATTCCGAGAAGACATTCAAACCTCTGGGCTCAGATCCTGTAGCTTCCAAGACAGACCTTTGCTTAGGCCACCTGTCAGCTCATTCATCCAGGCCTAAGATAGAGCAAAGCAGTACTTCTCAGATTTGAACGTGCATTTGTATTACCTCGGGATCTTGTTAACTGTAAATTTTGACTCAGTAGGGCTAGGGTGGGGCCTGTGATCTTTCTTTTCTAACAAGCTTCCAGGTGATTCGATGCTGCTGGTTCACAGACAGCACTGTGAGAAGCAAAGGAACAAACGCAAACCCCTGTGGGAGTGCTCAAAGTCACGAGCAAGGGGACTGTAGCGGAGGTTTGTGGCTGTGACTTAAAAAGGCCTTAGCATTGCCCATTCCCTGCCCAGCTGGGAGAAGGGAGCGTCTGGGATGAGAGGGACACATACATACCTGCCTGCCCCGAGGACATGACAGTTTCCAGACTTTAAAATCCCTTTTTATAGTTTCCTTCTGGCTGCCCGTGGCACAAGGGGAATCAGCAGTCAGGCAAAGCCCAGTGGGAGCTTCAGCATAACCTTTGCAAATACACATTCCAGAAACACTTTACTTCTCAACCTGGAAAAACCCAATTTAGTCTTGGTTTTGTTTCTTTGTATTATTCACTTCCTAGTCATTCTCACTGTTCTCTGGCATTAGGTCTACTTACTCATTCTGAGTATTTGGGGTAATCGTCATGATTTACACTCTTGCCGTGTCAAGTTTCTCCAAGCTCTCATGTCTTCTTAGTCTCAATTTAACATTTTGTCTACCTAGAACAAGTGTCCTCAAGAGTGTCTGCCTAAATAGGATTCCACGAAAACCACATATAAAGGGAATGACAGAAGCAGCAGCATATATGAATTTTATATTTGAAGCTTTCTGAGCACTTGGGCAAATATGAGTTTCCCCAGCTGCTTAGGGGTTACCAAATTTACTGTTTCACTTTAGGCTCTCTTACCCTTCCCATATCCATATGTGCTGTCATTAATGATATAACCTCATTGTTGACTTCACGAGGACAGAATAACTCATAGAACTGCTGTGACTCAAGGGAGACTTCAAAGTGATGGTGTAATTTGCAAGGGAGCATTTCAGTTCTCTAGTAATTCACTGTGTAATGCTTTTGTACTGCTGTGGAGTAAGTGTAACAGCAGTTGTAGGGGGTAACTGGTTATAATGAGTCATTGAATCACCTGTTCCTCTTTCTTCTAGCATCCTCTCTCGACAGCCATGCAGCTAACATAAAGGTAATTTTAGAAGTAGCATTTGTAAAATAATTTATTTCCAGCTATTTAACCTCAATTACTGTGCTTTTCTCCAGTGCTTTTCTCTACTAGCTAGTGCTGCTTATGGAATTGCTATAGTTTAACTGGAGTTTAAGAGGTCCCCAGGCTCCACTATCTGCTTTGCTTTGCTTTAGTTTGTCTGTCCCTCTCATAGAAACTGTTTGCATTTGTAGGATGAATCACTAGCGAGGGTGTATGTAGGCCCAATACCTACTTTATTTGTAGAATTTTTATTGCTCTTTCTCTAATCGGGTAGCTTTTATACATAGAGGTGGTAAATTGGTTTGTCAAGGTGAAGAGGCAAAGTTCTGTGTTACAACATGGGGACAAATATATGCAAAGAAAATGGAGTATACTGTGCTTCTTATTGTGTCAGAGCATTTAAATGTTTTGTTTAAACATTATTACCTTTTCCCAACCCAATAATCCCCAGTCCTCACAAGTCAAAGTTTAGAGCATGAGTTTACTTTGGCTTGTTTACTAATTAGTTTACTAATGCCAGACATATAGAATTTTAGTCATTGTTCCTTGACCTTGACTCCTGAACATTTTGTATCTAGTCTTCTCTACTCTCATCCTCTTTTATAGCAGGATATACCCCAGGGCAGGTATTCCATCACCTTGCCCTCAGTCCTCTTCCTTGTCCCACTCCACCCCAGTTTTGAAATAAACAAAGAAAAGGAAAACTATAATTAAAGTGTAATGCACATTGTCACTCAGGTTATCAAAGAGCCAGATGAACGGATTGTTTTAAGGAATGAGTCACCATCACGGTTAGATTCAAGTAAGTTTGGAAAGCCCTCGCCCAGTTACGATAACCAAGGGGATGCCAGCTGCCGCCTGGAAACTTCATTTGCCACCTCCCGGCACTCCAGATCTCCCAGCCCTCGTCTGGATCGCCCCCCTCACCGAGCAAGGTCAGCAGCAAGCGCGCCCACCTCTTTGCTCGAAGAGTGCCTGTGTTCCGGCAGGAGTGAGGCCGGTCAGTGCACCGGTCTGCTTCCTCGGGAATACTCACCTGGGACACCTTCATACGAAAAATCAGTATTCCTTTCAAAATCTTCCCCAAACTAAAAGTTTAGCCTTTTCACTTGTCCCTGGAACACATATCTCAGGAAGTTCGTTGAGAATGGCACAGACAGCTAACTTGGCATAGATACTATTTATCCATTTTTAGATATTGCATATTATAAAACTCAAGCTTTTGATTTCACCAATATAAAAGTGTTCACTATAGAAAATTTGGAAATTACAGAAAAACAAAAAGGAGTAAAAAAAATTCACTGACATTCCTGTCACCCAAAGACGAACACGAATGATGTGTGGATGTATTTTCTTTCTCTTTTTCCAGACCTGGTTTCTTGGTGTGTTTATATTGTCACAAATTAAAAAAACTATGATTGCATATGTCCAGAAGGCAAGCTGGAGATGGAGAATGGGAACTTTTATTTTCCAAACTTTACTCTCTAGCAACGTGATTAACTGTCCGGTTTGCCCAGGACTGTTTTAACCCTGACGGTTTGCGTTCTGGGGAAACCCCTTAGTCCCTGGCAACCAGGACAGTTGATCACCTTAACTCATCTTAACAGGGAAGAGGCACTGTAGATCATGTTAGCGAGAGTTGTTCTGAATAGGAGATATGCCGTCTGCTTTACTCTGCAGCGTTAGTGATGAGAATAAGACAAATCCCTATGTCAAAATAACAGTTACTCACGAAAGGACGCATAGCAAATATCTTAAAACAAAAGTACCCCTTAAATTTTACTAGGAATTATGTTAAGTTTGAGGTGGACTAAGAAAGTGGTGGTGCATTCTTAGTGTTTTTCAGAAATGATAGAAAAACTATAGTAAAATGTTCAATCATGGGTCTGAGGAAACCAAACCAAGTATTTTAATAAAATCTATTAAAGAATGTGAGTTTTTGATAAATTACTTTATTGAGAGAAAAAGAATATAATATAGATTTTTTTGTGTTTTTTAAAATTTTATTTAGTTATTTTTCAAGTACAGATTTTTATCTATTTCTCCCATCCCAGCCCCCCCCCCCGCCCCGTGCTCCCCCCCTCCCTCCCATTTCCTCCACCCCAGTCCTCATCCCTGTGTCTTTCATACTTGTTCCTCAAAATCCCTCCCCTTTTTTCCCCTTAAATTCCCTTCCCTCTCCCCTTTGGTCACTGCCCACTTGTTCTCTATTTGGAATATAATACAGATTTTTAAAAATTGGCCTTGGTCCCCCCAAAACAAGTGGTAAGAAATATATTTACACCCCCTTTGTGCCTGGCCTGCGTCTCTGTCAGGTTTTTCTATTTCTACCATCCTGGAATGTGGCAGGTTGGCAAAGCAGGAGGGGTTACCTGAGAGATGTAAAGACAGAATTGATTTTAAGTAGAGAGGGAAACAGCCATCAACTGGTGAGTGTCAGGAAACTTGAGCTGTAGTGCTCATTGTCTTTAAGTGATATGTGCGATCGAATACACTCGGCCTTTTAGGCCTTAGTTTCCTGAGCTGTAAAATGAGGGTAATGATCAAACATCCATCCTCTGACAGCCACGAAGTGCTTCTCTTCCACCAGAACTGGAGGAAACACATGGCTTTTATCCAAGTGCCTAGTTTTTCTACATTACCCAAACTCTTTATAATCAGCATTGCACTTTTCGGAGAGAGTGAATTGAGTATCCACTTACTGAACACCTTTTATGTGCAGCGTACATGATCGTGACTCACACATCCTTCCTCTCCTCTCCAGTGGCTCACAGGCTAGACAAGGGAGGCAGGCATGTCCCCATGTCCTAAATGTGAGGTGGACTGTGATCTGCACTTGACAGAAGTACAATCCAAACGCAGGGAAAGAGAGCAGGAGGAGGCTAATTCCATCAGGAAGGAGATCTAAGAAGGCCTCGTTTCTTCTTAAATAAATTCGTTAGATGGTTTATTCATTCAACCAGCCTTTCATGAGTATCTCTTTGTTTTTTATTTATTTAAATCATTTTTCAATGGTATATAGATAAGTGAGTAGAAATTATATATGTACATCCTGATCATCCTGATAAATCTCATGCCCCTCTGACACATGGTTATTAGAATATTATTGACTATATTCTCTATGTTGTACTTTTCATCCCCATGACTATTCTGGAAAAACAGATTTGTACTCTTAATCCCTTCACCTTTTCATCCATCTCCCAACCCATCTCTTATCTGGCAACCATCAAAATGTTTTCTATATCTATGAATCTGTTTCTGTTCTGCTTGTTCATTTATTTTGTGTTTTTTTTTTAGATTCAGTTGTTGATAGATATGTATTTCTTGTCATTTTATTAGGTTTCTTTCTTTAAAAACATTTTATTTATTTATTTTTAGCGAGGGGAAGTGAGGGAGAAAGAAAGGGAGATAAACTAAATGTGTGGTTGCCTCTCATACACGCCCTACTGGGGACCTGGTCCTCAACCCAGACTTTATGCCCTAGACTGGGAATCAAACCAGTGACCCTTTGGTTTGCAGGTCAGCACTTAATCCACTGAGCTACACTAGCCAGGGCTATCACATTTTATTGTTCCTAGTTTTTGCTCTTTTTCAAAAAATTCTCATCCAGTGATACGTGTATTGATTTTAGAGAGAGGGGGAGAAGGGGCGGGAGGGAGAGAGAGAGAGGGGAACATTGATGTGAGAGAGAAACATCAATTGGTTGCCTCCTGTACACCCCCTGACCAGGAATCAAACCCATATTCTTTCGGTGTCTGAGATGATGCTCCAACCAACTGAGCCACCCAGCCAGGGCTCTTCTTCTTAAAGAAGATACTTAACATTTCATGTAATACTAGTTTGGTGGTGATGAACTTCTTTTGCTGTTTTTTTTTGTCTGGGAAGCTGTATATTCTTCAATTCTAAATATAGATTTACTGGATAAACTGATCTTGGATGTAAGCTGTTACTTTTCATCACTTTGAATAACTCTTGCCAATCCCTTCTGGCCCGCAAAGTTCTGCTGATAAGTGAGTTGATAGTCGTATGGAAGCTTCCTTGTAGGTAACTACATTTTTCTTGCTGCTTTTAAGATTCCCTCTTTGTCTTTAACGTTTTGCATTTTAATTATGATGTGTCTTAGTGTGGACCTCTTTGGATTCATCTTGTTTGGGACTCTGCACTTCCTGGACTTATATGTCTGTTTCATTCACCAGGTTAGGGAAGTTTTCTGTCAAGTAGGTTTTCAATTTCTTGCTCTCTCTCTTCACTTTCCAGACCCCCACCCCATGACATTTATGTTGGTACACTTGAAATTATCCCAGAGGCTTCTTACATTATCTTCATTTCAGGGGGGGGGGGTTCTTTTTTCCTTTTGCTGTTCTGATTGGGTGTCTTTTGCTTCCTCATATTCCAAATGGTTTATTTGATTCTTGGCTTCATCTACTGTTGGTTTCCTGTAAATTATTATTTATTTAATTTAGTGTATTCTTCATTTCTGACTGGTTCTTTTTTATGGTTTCCATGTCCTTCTTTATGCTATTGAAGTTCTTACTAAGTTCCTTGAGCATCCTTATAAGCAGTGTTTTGAACTCTGCCTCTAGTAGATTGCTTGTTTCCATTTTGTTTACTTCTTTTTCTAGAGTTTTGTTCTGTTCTTCCATTTGGGGCATGTTTCTTTGTATCCTCATTTTGGTAGCCTCTCTGTGTTTGTTTCTATGAATTGAGTGGACCTGTTACATCTCCCAAGCTTCGTAGAGTGGCCTTATATAGTAGTTATTCTGTAAGGTCCAGTGGCACAGACTCTTCAATCATCCAAGCTGGGCACTCCATGTGTGCTCCCTTGTGTGGACTGTGTACATCCTTCTCTTTTAGTTGAGTTTTCATTGCTGTTGGCATATCAATGGGAGGGATACACCCCCAGGTTGATCAATAAGCTATAAGGACTTGCTGTGATGACCAACTTCAGACCACCATGGAAGATCAGCTGTGCAGGGTTTTACCTCACAAAGCAGGACTTACTTCAGCAGGACTCTGGTGCCCACTGAGTCTGCCCTTTGAGTGTGTCACTTGTGGAGGTGGTTGAATGGTACTTCGACATGGTCTGAAGCTATCCACTAGTGCGCTGGCTCTGGGACATCCCAGGAGGTGCAGGCCAAGGTTAATCACCATCTGTATTCTGCTTGTGGCCACCTGGCATAAACTACAAAGCAATCTGCAGATGGATGCTACTTGTTCTGGGCTTGGAGGTGCCCAGGTGAGGCTGGGCTGTGAACCAAGGCTGGCTGCTGCTACTGCTGGGCCTAGGGCCACTTAGCAAGAGGTACTGGGCATGCTGAGGCCAGAAACTACTTGTTTGAGAGATTTTAGGAAAGTCTGAAGTGTTAGCCAAGACAAGCCATAGAAATAGCTTTGGTGAGCCCACAAGTTGGGTTGGGCAGGATCTCAAGAAATCAACAGGGTGGGGCACACAGTATGAGCCAGGTGATGGGTACTCAGATATGGTGCTCACCTACCAGCTTAGTTGGGGGAGGGCTTAGAAAAGGAACAATGGCTTCTGCCAGCTTTTTTGTCTGGCGACTGCTGTCCACCTGAGCTCTCACCCTGATGCCAGACAATTCAGTTCCTCCCTCTATGTCCCTGGTGCCTTTTGAGCTGCTGTCCCAGCACTGGGACTCAGAGGGAGTATATCAGAGTAAGTCCATGCCTGGGCCCTTGAAGAGAACCTGCTTGGGAGTTCAGAAGCCCTGTCTCCCTCCCTCAGGCACAATCCCTGCTGGTTTTTACAGCCAGAAGTTATGGGGACTTCTCTTCCTGGCAGTGGAACCCTGGAGTTGGGGGTCTCGCCCTTCAGGAGAGACCTCTGCCATTAAGATATCCCTCCTGATTTTTACCTGCCACAAGTGGATGTGGGACCATCCCATGCCATGTCTTTTTCCCTCCTACCAGTTTTGAT